TAACTGTGCACCCGCTGCTTGTTTCAGAGAGGAGTACCACAGACAGGTAGCATAGGCTTCTGAATTTCTCTGTTGCATCTAGCTCGCTCTATAGTTTCACCATCGGGAACCGGCATCACCCGTTGCGTGACATTCACGGGCCCCGACACACGATTCCCGACGACACGGCGACTGGATCTTGGCCGGAAACCACCTAGGACCCCCCCATTACGCTTGCTGCACTTGCCCGGTAATCGGTCGGGGTAATTGGCTAGCCTGTGACCGGTATTTGCTTGTGGACAGAAGTAGAGGTTGCTTGCATTGCACCGAGTGAGCTGCAGCGCAATTCGACGCGGTCTGTCCTGCAAACCGCTGCAGTCCGAGCAAACGACTTACTGGTGGCGGCCCCGCCATCATGCTGAATCGGGAGGAATGAAGAGAAGGAAGATCCCGTCACATCAGTTCAAACGACACTACATTTACGTTTACTCCGACAGCTAGGCTCGGCTCAGTGGCTGCTTGCTGGCTTTTCGGAGACCCGCGGGCAGGATGCGCAGGGCGCAGCATCGAGGGTATTCACCAACCCGCATGTCCCCGAGACCGCTTTCGAGAGAATCATCAGCACAGCCGTCATCAGTCCTCGAGGATTGCGACGGCGACTCGATCATGTCCACCTCACGCCCCCCAAGCCTGGCTCTCATGCCTCCCTCCTCGGCATGTTCGAACCCGGCCTCGCCCCCGTCGTTGAGGGACATACTCACCAATATCGCACCCCCACCCTACACGCTGGGTGCCTTCACAGCTTTCTTGTCACAGAACCATTGCATGGAGACGCTCGAGTTCACCATGGACGCTGATCGTTACAGTACGACGTATTCTAACTTCCTGATGGAGCAGGCAGCCGGGTTGCCAGATGGAATGGACCACGTTTGCTCTCTGTGGCAGAAGATCATCAACGCTTACATATTACCCTACGGCCTCCGGGAAGTCAACCTCCCATCGCATGTCCGAGACCGCCTACTTTCACTACGCTGTACGCCGGCCCCTCCCCACCCGTCGGAGCTAGATGAAGCCGTGAGGATTGTGTACGAGCTCATGAACGACTCGGTGTTGGGCCCGTTCATCGCTTCGGTGGCACCGCAGCACGACTGGTCTGGCGAGCACGATCCCAGGCACACGCGGTCACGGCTCCGCATTCCTAAGGATTCATCTTCGAGCCTGGACGATTCGAGCCGGTCGCCAAAGATTAGCTTTTTGCCCATGCTCAATATGCCTTGGACTAGCGAGCCTAAGAGCTCCGCCTCGTCGTCTAGCGAGTCCGCCGACCGTGCACTCACGGACGGCACCGCAAACACGCCCTCGCCAGTTATGAACGAGCCCATGACACCACCTACCACACCCCCAGTCTCGGACTGGGAGTTCAACACCTCACCGGGCGGCCTCCACAAGTCCACCAGCTTACATAGCAGCAGCTGGAAGAAGGTGGGCGCAAAGCTTGGCCTCAATAGGATGGGCCGCAGTAAGCGCGGCCACAGCTCCAGCGCCACTTCCGCCCCGGTTGACGTTGACGTTCCAACGCGCGACCCTGACCACGCCAGACGGAAGACCAACCCCTTATAGGGGTCACAGGTCATGCCGATCCCTGACGACTCCGTCACAACCTCCCCCGATTGTGCCCCGCCGGCAGCGCCCGAGGCGTTCGCCCGACAACGACAAAGCACTGACCGAAAAGCGATCGTTCCGCATGTCGGGCGATTGAGGAGGAACCGCACCCGGGGCAGCGCTACGCGATCACCGTCGTGGGGAGCGCACGCCCGGGTGTTGCTGCCAACACTAACGGAGTCGGCAAGGCCCGGCATGGCCGCAAAAGCTTACTCACCGTATCCCACCCGCGGGTGGGCCGTAGGAAACCGGCGGTTCGCGCCTACGAGGATGCGGACACCGGCACTACGCCCTCTGAAGATCCCCCAGGACAACGCGAGACTGTCCACCTACACGACGAACAGCATCGGCACGCCCACCAGCACGTCGCATATGCTCCCCCGTGCCCCGGTGACTCAAAAAGCGCCAGTCGCCAGCCCGCTATGCTGCCCATTGCTGGGCAGGGTCAACAGCAAGACCGCCTCACAGGCCAGGAACTTCCAATATCTCCAGCGACCAGGCCTACGACCACGAGTCCATCCGTCTTTCCATGACTGGATTTCTCGGGGTTCCTCGAACCCTGACCTCACCACCGTCACCACCTCGAGCACTGATGCTTGTTCGTTCATGTCGATCGACCCCACACCGACGACAAGCGACAATGACGGAAGAAACAGATGCTACCCGAGAAACGCCGGCGTCCGCCTGGACCCAGACCCGGACCCGTACGGCTGGGACGCGGAGCTCGAGAAGCGCGTCGCTGTGCCGCCCGCCGCTGTCGTGGGCTTGGGCTTGGGCTTGGGCAGCATAGATGTCGACGACGATTCCGGGTACTGCCCCGTGATCCAGTACCGCCGCGCAGGCGGTGGGAGGAAGACCCTGCTGCAGCGGGTGTTGAGTTTCGGGCCTGCCGGCCAGAATGGTAATTAATAATCACCAATATCCGGCAGGAGAGGAGGCACGGTTCATTGACGTGTCGGGCCTCATCATCTCCTGTCTTGTTCTTTTAACGATTTCTATTCTGTTTTCTAATGTCTCTTGATTCATGGTTGGCGGGTTTGCTCACTTGGGCGGTGCGCTGTGGTGGAAATACCCTGTCGTATGTCGACCTATTTACGGTCTTGTCTTGTCTACTTGAGCTCTGGCACTGTTTGGTTTAGAACCGGTTTTGGTTGGGGTTGGTCGGCGGGTGGTCGGGAGCCCACGCATCCTTGCACCCCCTCTCTCTCTCTTCTACGGATGATGATTTCTTTTATGTTATGTGGCATGGCAAGCATGAGACGGTGGACGGGCAGGCGACTGGGCGGTGTAATGTGTTTTTGGTTTGTTTTCTTCCATTTGTCGGGCTATCGTGTTTATGCGGCGGTGGGGTGGGTGTTGGGGGTGGTGTGTACATACACGTTGTGGTGAAAAGCAAAGCAAGCATGGCGTTCGGGGTGGCAGAGGTGCCGGCTGATCGAGGCGATCGAGGGAGAGGGCATGCATGCATATACATACATACACATACATACATACGCTGAGGGCATTCAATGAATTGGTTGCTCACCTCTACTCTTATGTTTTTTGGACTTGAATCGTGAGCATGACAATTTGATGCTGTGGTTATCTCGGTGGTGTGTTTGGGCGACAGCCCACCTTGGTGCTTCCGCCCATGTACTCGGCTCATGAGCGTTGTTGGTGGTAAGTGAACGTTTGAAGGGCCATTTCACTCGCTAAGCTAACGGTATCAATCACAATTAGGTACCTAGACAATCCCCACGGCCAATCACAACTGCTCTCCATCGAAACGGTGATCCCAGTCTGACCGACTCTTAAGCCTCCCCCTTCACCTTCTTGATTACTTTCATTGATCACTTTCATCTGAGACCCCCCATCCGATATTCGATCGATCGCCCTTCCAGCCCATTCCGAACTCCCCGGCTCTCACCCTGTCCGAAACCCCCCGTCGGCAAGAAAAAAAAAAGCATCCTCTTTGTTTCTCGCAGGCTACGTCGCCTTCCGCACTAGTGTAGTTCTCCCCGACTGGAACTTCCCGCCTCTCGGTAAGCCTTGGTCAGCAAAACGCCACCTTTTTTGTTTTTTGCCTTGCCTTGGCCTGACCTTGGCTTCCTTTGCCTTGCCTTGGCCTGACCCCGACCTTAGCTTGGCCCTGCCGTGTTTTCTTTGTCGGTGTCGTGGCTGCCGTGGCTGCCCGCTCCCTTCCTCCTCCCCCCCCCCTTGTCCTGTCCTGACCCGGCGAGGTGGGAATGGGACTTGTTGATCCGCTGGTATTGGCGTTTGGCGTGTCTCACTTTGCTTTTAGGGTTTTGCGGATCATCCTCCCGCCCGCTCTTCCTCCCTCCCTCCCTCCCACCCCCACTCCTGCTCCGACTTGCTTGTAGTCGGTTGGGGTGCGGGATGGGTTCCGCGGTGCTGGGGGGGTTGGTTTCGGCGGGTTGGGGGAGTCGGCGGGTTGGCGGGTTGGCAAGTTGGGTGTGTTTGCTGTTGATGGAAGCGAGATGGTTATCTCACTGTGGCAATGGGGCAATGGGACAATGGAGGGGAGGGGGGGGATGTGTTGTGGGATTGGCTGGGATTGCGTATGTATGGTGTGTGTAAGGCACTTTGCTGCCTGCCTACCTGCCTGCCTTGAGTGGTTACTCATCGCCGAGTCCGTTGTACCGTTTGGTTAGTTATGAAAGTCTGCATGTTAACTACGTGGTTAGGTAGTGTCAGCTTCCGGTTCGCCTGCGTTTTACAGTCGGGCCAGGTAGGCAGGCAGCCCATGGATGCGCGAACTTGTACGGGGTGTAGACAAGCCTCATAACCCCGAAAGAGGTAGATGTTGCGGTTCAAAATGAAAGGGCGGAAGGGAGCATAATCTGTCTCTGCTACATTTTTGCCGCATTATCTGTAATCATCGCCATGATCAACACCAAGAAAGCTGAGCACCTAATGGAGGAGTCGAGTATCAAGAGCGTTTTGAGTGCCTGTCTGTATGGACGGAAAGAGCACGAATAGCTCCGGTCCGGAGTAAGAGTACAGTATTTATTACAAATTAAGTTATGAACACTTTGGCGTTGCTATGACGCTGGTTAGTTACAAATAGACGTAAATGCTAGTTTCAGCCACCGACCCGCAACTTTTGATAGCTCTAATGATGCCAAACTGGTGGGTGATCCAGCGATCCGAATTACAGAAACAGGAGCCTGTATCGTTGGGATTAAAATTATTAGTTGTACTAGGACCTCTACAGAAGCCAACACGATGTGGCAGAAACGAGACAATGGAGTGTTATTCATGTTATCAGGGGTGTCATCGTCGTCGTTGTCGTTGTCGTTGTCGTCGTCGTCGTCGTCGTCGGCGCCAACACTTGCAAGCACCTGCCTGCCGGTGTTTGATAGCTCTTCACAGCGAATATGTTTATTCCAGACGGAATAACATTGAGCTTTGGCCAGCTTGATAACCAACCGTGGCTGATTACTGCCTGTAATAATTGTTTCTCCGAACGGATAACCGCTTCAAGTTGTCAACAACGCGTTCCTTCCCATACCCCTCACCCATCCACTTCCTTTCATGCCATCATCGTAAGTCATCATCGGCATCAAATTATCGCGCCAACCACCCGCTAGTCACAATGGATAACATCGTGCAATTGTCTGGGCGCGACGTTGCTAGTTCAGTACATGTTCTATACTTACAGCCCACCGAATGCGTCCAGTGGAAGTCGTGGCTAATGGCGAACGAACAGCACACGATGGCCCGCACCCCGATCGGATTTCTCTATCTGCCAAGCGAGCTTCGAAATATGATTTATGAGCTGGTGTTAGTGCGCAGAAAGCCCATTGTTCCCTTGGCCCATGCCTACGAAGGGAATGCCTACCCTCCCGGGCTGCTCCGCGTGAACCAGTCCATCCACCGTGAAGCCGGGCCGATTTTCTATGGCCGGAATTGTTTCAATTTCACCGATAATTCCGAGTATCGGGCGACTTCTTTTCTGGATCAAATCGGGGAGGAAAATGCGGATTGCATTCAGCACATCCTGGTTGAATTCCCAATTTCCTTCAACATGGACACTGCCGAGCCAGTCACGTTTCACGACGACACGACGACCGTCATCGATCATTTCTTGATCGGTTGCGCCAACTTGAGTACGGTTACCGCAATTCTGGCTACCACAAATGAGATGGAGTATCTCATCAAGGACGATCCCGACGACAAGTCGGTCATGGGCGCGCTACTTTACGTCGACTTGATTTTCGCATTGTCACCATCATTGCAAACCATTATTGTGAAGGGGAACGGGACGGCAGAGCAATTACCAGGCCGGCGGACGACTTTGACCATCAGCGGGAGACGCTATTTCGGAACGAAACCCTAAGGGGGCATGACGGTCTCAACAAGGCGAAGAGCTCACTGCTGATTCAAATCCGGACGGGAGCAATAGGCCTACGGGACTTCTTGTTCACACGGGGAGTCCCGGAGGTTCTGACGCCTGCCTGCGAGTGTGGCGAGGGACGAGAGACTGCCGAACACCTAGTAGTGTGGTGTTTGGCCCCACCGTTGGCTCGAAGATGGGAGAGGACTGGAATTCGGACACGACGGGACTTTTACTCTGTTCTACACGGTATCAATCCCACTGCACGGCTCGCGAGGAGGATCCTCGACTGGCTGATGGACACGGGGAAGCTGCCGATGTACAGCTTAGCCAGGAGGCTCGAGCTGGAAACGGCGGCCTGAAGCGCCCCCGTTCGGAGGCCAGGAGGCCTCCTCTCTTTGTATATGTAGGCTCACTAAAACGCATCGCTCCTTGATTGTTGGTACGGGTTTTTCACCCGGCCTGGGAGGGCACGGTTTTCCTGTACACTAAATAGCAGAGGGTCCGGCACGCCCTAGGGCATAGCGGAGTATGAATAATAATAATAATAATTATTGTGAAGGTTTTTACCCGTAAGCTGACTGATGTTGCCAGAAGGATTTTGAAGGGACATGGCTGGGAAATCAGCTTCATGAAAAGGAAGGAGATGCAGTATCACATTGCTAGACTTCATGCCAGGCTCTTGGAGATGGAGGAGACTTATGCTAATGACTGCGATTATGGCGCTCCCGAGGTTTGGTGGTAGATACGGCGTCGGCAGTTGTAGCAGCTTACGAAAAGAGCGGTGGACTGAAGACATTGCAAATGCTCAAAACAAGTTGTATGTAGTGATATTTCGCTTCAAGATTGACTTGGTGCAAACGCAACAGCATATGTACGACACCAATATCCCGCGCCAGGCCCAGAAACCGTACTCGTTCCACACCAGGGTAGTGTCTCCCGTTGCTGTACTGCTGCCGGGTTACAGAGTATCTGTATCGAGTGCCAGCGTCACATCACTGAACGTCAAAAGCCTCGCACTTATCCTCAGATTTGGATGCGCCTACCCCAACATCGACAGGTCCGGGCATGGCCGAGTAACGGGAGGCACGCAATCAAGGATCACCACCCTTTGTCTAATGTCAAAGAATATCCATTACAACTACCATTGCAATAATACAAACGCAACCAACGTACAGGAACGCAGAAAACACATGCAGCCAACCATGCCCATCTAGACACAAAACGCCGCAACCATGCCCACTGACTTTTCGACCGCCCCTTCAACCAAACTCACGCTTCCAAATCAACCGGCGGCTTATCATGCCGCGAGTACATGCGGTACTCGAGCGACGACTTCCAGTCGATCTTGCCCTGTTCAATCTGTTTGCGGGTGACCGAGAGCATCGGTTGGGGCAGGCCCATGGATTCGAGGAAGGTTACGGCTAGAGAGAGGGAAAGAAATTCGTTAGTGATCACATCCTAGTTGTTAAACTGAGCAAGTAAAAAAACAAAACATACTCTGCTTCCACTCGACATCCTGCCTCTTCCGATCCCAGCCCAACTCCTGCGACATGATATCAATAATCTTCGGCAGGGCCTCGAGGGCGGCCTGGGCATTGAGGAAGGCGAGCCTGGTGCGGCGGGCGAGGACGTCGACGGCGGTCTGAGCGTACTCGTGGCGGACGGCATAGCGCACCTCGCCGTCAACGAAGGGGTACAGCTGCGAGATGCGCTCGCCGCGGGCGGGGAAGCGCTTGTCGGTGGCGCGGCACAGCGCCGCCACCGTCCAGGCGCGGTCGCCGTAGCTCTCGGTCAGGTGCTTGGCCACCTCGGTTTCGACGCCAAAGTGCTGGATGAGGTGGATGAAGAGCGTGCGGCTGAAGCCGTGCGCGCCGATGAGGCGCACGCGGTGCGTCTGGCATGAGCCGTCTAGGTCCGCGCCGTCATCGACGTTCTCCGTGCCGCTAACACGGGGGGCGTTGATGACGGGCTTGGTCTGAAGACCGAAGGCCTGCACGGCCGCGTCGACGCACTCCTCGGCCATCTGCCGGTAGGTGGTCCACTTGCCGCCGGCGCAGGTGAGGAGACCAGAGTCGGAGATGTCGACTAGGTGGTTGCGAACCAGCGATTCGGTGTTTTTGGCCTTGGGGTCTTTGACGAGCGGGCGCAGGCCGCACCAGGCGGCGAGGACATCCCCGCGGCGGACATTGATGTCAGGGGAGAGGTAGTGGCTGACCTCGTTGAGGATCCATTGAATCGATTTCTCGTCCGGGAGCGGGTTGTTGGACACTGCAGCAGGGTCGTCGGTGGTGCCTGCGATCGTGTTGCCCTGCCAGGGTAGGAAGAAAATAACCCTCCCATCAGATGTTGCCGGGTCAATCAGGCCCATCTTGCCGGGGCAGTAGTAGCCAGGGAGGATGATGTGTACGCCGGACGCGGGTGCGACGATCTCCTTGCCATTCGGATCGTCCATCTTCCGGATGCCGTCCGTGAAGGGACCGGTGCAATTGATGATGCATTTGGCCTTGATATTGAAGCTGTCCGTCCGTTTGCCATCCCTCTCGGCAATGTTGTCCTTGACGGTGGCACCGCAGAGTTTGCCCTTGTCGTTCTTCAAAAGCCCGGTAACCTCCATATGATTCACGACTGTGGCGCCGTACAGAGCCGCTGTCATGGCAAGCGACACATTCATCCTCGAGTCGTTGTGCGCCCCGTCGTAGTACACCAGCGCACCCACAAGATCGGTCTGCTTGACCATGGGGAATGCGTCGATGGCCTTGCTCTTGGTCAGGAAGTATGAACTCTCGATGCCCTCGCTACCGGCGAGGAAGTCGTAGAACTTGGTGCCGGCCCAGTAGTACGGTACTTTCCACCAGCGGTCGAGCGGCAGCATGATCGGGAGCCAGCTGCTCAGATGCGGCGCCGTCTGCAAGAAGTACGTGCGCTCTTTCAGGGCCTCCTTTCACGAGCTCAATAACTGCGAGTAGTCCCAGGTTCCAGACGGCCCTTCTTCGAGGTTAGCGCACACCGCCAGTGGACGAGCTTGGTGCTCTTTGCTGCTGGTGCCGCAGGCTGAAATCGGCCGCGCTCGACCACGGCGACCCTTGAGCCCACGGGTTGCAGCATCGAGGGCGACCCCCTGAGCTCTGTTGCGCCGGGCGCCAATGACTAGGATGTCATATTCTTCCTCTGTGTTCCCGGCACTGCTCCGCTTGAGGTCGGCGATCTGCTCAAAACGCGATTTCACGCGGGGGAACCGGGGGAGCTTGAAGGTGCCGTCGGCGCCAAAGATAGGGGGAGGCACCACGGGGCCTTCGTATCCGGGAATGTTTCGGGGTCGGTACACGTAATAAAGGGCACCGGCCGCCGTACCGGCGACGGCGAGGGGCGGTATCAATCGCCTTACTTTCGCGAACCTCGACATTGGCGACTTGATGGGAAACTGGAAGAGGAGGGATTTAGGAGGCGGCGACGTGCGTTGGCCCGGTCTATATTGACTCGGAGGATGCGTGGGTGGATTGCGACCACTCCACTAATGACGCAACCGTCACGATGTGCGGCGGAGTTGGGGTTTTAGTTGCTGGTTTCCAAGGCCAGACCTGAAACCCCCGATATCAGTTTGCGAGTCATTGAGTTGGATGATAAAAAGCCTGCCTTACCTGGAAAAACACCTCCCCTTTTTGCGCCTCGATTCACCACACAAAGCGCCCCTGGACGCCGTATCGCAACCTCCGGCGCGGGGGATGGAGATGGTCTGGACTGGACGGTTGCAGATCAGCGGGTACAAGTCAGTTTGAAGAGGATCAGGTGGCCGGTTGCTCTCCGCAAAACAATGAAAATGGACAATCAAATGCCTTGATAGCAGAAAATTCAGTCTGGCGCGTGCATAACCACGCCTTTACCTCGCGGTATTGCGGAGGAGGGAAAGGAGCTGGCAGTTGAAGCCATGGTGAGATGTTTTGTCCGAAGCCGGGGTTGCAGTAGTGAGAGCCGAAGCTTGTGTAAGGGTCCTGACAGTGTCCCGCGCCCGGCTAGCATGGCTCAGCACGGCTCAGCGTGGGAAACCATCTCAAGCCCCGCGCACCACCAATGGCCAGTGTACTGGAAGCTCCTGCGGCCAATGCGCCGGCAAAATTGGGGCACGTTGCCCCGCTGCAAGGCTTCGAATGACGATATTGATTTTCCGCCAATGGGAGGCACGGCGCCGGACAACAGCGGCAGAGTCAAAGGAACTGCAGGCGGGGCTGTATTCAGAGGAGTCGGGTTAATGCCAACCGGGGCTTCGAAGCCACATGTGGTTGATGACCTTATTTAGATAGGGAAGGCTAGTTATTTGGAATCAAATATTGCTCGACTACCCATCTTAGAGAGCCACGGGGCCGTATCCACCACTCCCTACTGCGGCCGTTGAAGTGCGCTTGTGTGCCGGAGCGGAAGCAAGGATAGACCTCGGAGAGTTCAAAGCTGTTGATGGAGTTCCATGACAGCTCCCCGGATTCCGATTGCGCAGCCAACCTGCTGGGAGCTCGTCGGAGGCTTCGGTCGAATGCCTCCCAGAATGAGCAGCGTCAATCATATACTTAATTCGAGTCGAATCCATGTACCTGCCTTTTAAGCAGTGGTGCGATGCAAATATACTTACCCCTTTATCACGTCTATCCGTTCACACAGAAGAATGGGGCGCCGAATCACATGTGCACGAGCTCCGGCGCAGTCGCTGTCGGCGAGCCCGCGTTTGAGAGCGAGTGTAGGTCAAGGTTACGTGCTGGGGACGGTACTGATCGAGTATAGGAAACGGGGAAAGGGGTCGATTTGGGTCAATATGGCAATCAGCGGCGCCGAGCAGCTTGAATGCTGGCAAGCTGTGCGGACAGCCAGCCAGAAACTGAGCTGGGAGCAACAAGGAAAGAAAGTCGCATTGATCGCGTTGTACAGTATTTACACCATCCAGTATCAGCCCCTGTAAGCCCCCATGCTCCGTCACCTCAAATGTCCTCTCCAGCTCATGATACACGGGTAGTTCCCGTGATAGTAGGTTGCACCTATTAATAAAAGAAAAGGGGCTCTGCTTTATGCCTTTGACGAGGGGGACTGCACGTGTCCCTTGCCCGAGTAACCTTCTGACGAGAGACCAGTCAATGGGTCCGAGTTTTGGTTCTGCGGAGAGAGTCGAGTTAGTGGCCATCGGTAGCATCGGGCGCCGCGGAGAGCATCGGCAACTCACCTTCAAGAACTCGTTTGTCGCTTCCTGCCACTCCTTGGTCATAGTGCTCGGTGGCGGCTTGGCGAAAGACCGTACAGTGGCGAAGAGGAGGAGGCTAGCGCCGAGGCCGATGGCGGTATAGAGAGCAACCTTCTTGCCCTCACCGGGGGGGTCAAGGGCGCGAGGGCCGTGGGGACCAAATGCGACCCAATAGGCTACATAGAGATGTGTCGGATTAGTGTCTGCTTTTGTGTATATATGTATGTATGTATCGTGATGGTTTGACCCTTGCGAGCGGGGGTGCGAGTGACGTAGGTGTTCTAGCAGCGCTACAAGCTAGCTCCCCATAGATTTGCGACCGCTAAACCATCGCGATCCATCCAAGTTCCAGCTAGGAACCTCCCTCCAAGCTTCGCGATGCCTGCGGGACCGACCCGCCGTAGATGAAACTGGCCATGAGGGGGCTTGGCATCGGCAACTTACCGGCCTTCTTCTCCTGAACAGTCATGTCGGCCCAGTTCTCCTTCATCCGGTCGCGCAGGGCCATCCACAGCTCGGCCTGCTCCTGCATCGGCATGCCCTCCCATCTCTTCTCGATGTTGGCCAGCGTCGGGTTCGAGATGGCATGTGTCGAGGCGGCGCGATAGCCGAGGGCAGTGGTGGCCGACTGCCGGGAGGCGCGCACCAGGGCGTTGCGGATGACGGGCGACATATTGGGTGATTGATAAAGCTCGTCGGTCGGCTAGCGGACTCGACGCAGACTTGGAGAGGGGAGATGGGTCCAATTGAGTAACCGGAGCGGCTGGCGGCCTGGGAGCTCGTCGGTGGAGTGTGTTTTGATGTGAAGGTGATTGAAGCGAAGTAATGCACGGGACGAAGCTTTTTTATCGGGCAGATGGGCCTCCAGCTTCCCAATCAGGCCCATTTCGAATTCCGAAGCTCTGCAGTGCTGGCCCGGCATTCCACGCTTTAGTTAGCAACTAGAGCGGGGGCTCCCTCGGCATTCAAATGATGTAATGGGAGGGTATCCCATAATGCCAAAGTAATATGCGTTTAGCGGAAATATCTAATTCGATTATTTTCGCATACTTACATTTATTTGGTTTGTATGCTCACCACCTTGCCATGCTTTCATGATTAATGGACTAACTGGCATCCGGAGAGAAGTTTCATATGGGAGTTATAATATACACAATTATAATACTTGTTTGTTACATCCGCATCATGCAATCGGTGCCTGCTTAAGTTGTCTGCGCCGGTCTTCGTCTTTGCAGCCGCCCCTTGGGCTTGCAAACTGCTTGTGTTGCTTCACTCTGACCGAGCTAGAACGCACGGCGACTGTTGAACCGTGTTCTTACATTGGCATTGCCACCCCCAAGTTCAGCTGGATTATTTTTCTTGATTTTGCTCTGGCCGTGGCGCTGGACGCCCCTGAGGTTCAAGTGTTTTGCTGCCTTGGTGTGAGTCGCCGACTGCCACGGTTGTTATGGTAATGAAATCTCACCGAATCGACATGCCCTCTTTTTGCTCCTTCAACTCCTTGAAACTTGGGTTGAATGTATAATAAGCTAGAGGAATGTCAACATCGCCGAGAGCTTTCCGAGTCAAATTACACTCACCGTTACCAATCCCGAAAGCTATAAGGATGCCAATCGTGATCACCTTGGATTGGTTGCTCATTGTCAAGTATGGCTGTTTCAGACGGCTTGATCAAGAGCGGCCTGTTTGGAGTTACAAAGTGATTGTGCTTTGGCTTTGGCTGAGAGCTTGCTGGCTTCCTTGATGCGATTTATTTTCTGATGTAACATACACCGATACAAATACCACTGGTAACTAACAGAACACTTACACTGTACGATCTCAGGACGCCCAGTGTTAATTGGTGGCAGCATAACGCGAATTGCCCCACCAGAGCTTCTGCCAGTCGCGTCTCACGCCAATTTACGCGCCATGCGTGGTGCACTCAGGGCCGGGTACCTTGTAATTACTAAGTTATCCTTGCAGAGCTCATGCATGGATGTCTTCACTACGGATCTGCTGCCAATCCTCCCAACAAGCTGGTCGATGATTCAACCGACATCCACGATATGATAGTAGGGCCGCAATGAAGAGCTGGAGGGAATTGGGAGAGGTTCCGGATTCGGACGACGAGAGCTTCGATGACGCGGATTTCAACGACGACAATGACGGAGATGAAGGCGACAACCTCGACCAATTCAACCAGTTACCACGAAACGATGTCGACGATACGCGAGTGGATGAGAAGAGCCAGGAGTCGGCCAGTGATGGGGATGGGGACGTATGGAGTGTTCCGAGTTCTTTACCGGAGCAAGCTTCGCCCCTCCTCGCTACGATTTCGGGTCAGGCGTCACAAATGCTGAGCCAGCCACCGTGGCACGTCCAACCGACAGCAGACATATCCGGAAACGGGGGACCCCTTCTACTCCCACCAAGTCTACGTTCGACAAGCCCGCATCTACACCGAGGAACCGGCCTAAACTCACGTCGGATTTAGACCTAGAGGATGAGATATTATTGACAGGCTATGCTTCAGGCCGCAAGCCCGGGTTCAGGCGCGTCCTCTCCCGCGAGCTTTCTCTCAAGGACACCCACACCACCGCGATTTCCTTCATTGCCCGATGTTCGCCTTACTCCCCCGGTGGCCCACCCTACGCAGTCTCCGACCCGCGAACCGCCCGTGGAGAAAACGAACACGCAGGAATTGCCAAAGCAGGCCGAGCCCCGGCGAGAGCGCTCATTCCGTCCCCGGAAACCGATCCAGCAGCACCCCTATCTTCTCGAGAACGCCCAATACGCTACTTTTATGAAGTCACACGGTGTGAAGCCCATTCGGGTTGCCCAGTCATCCCGGCCGGCAGGAAGCGGAATCGAGGAGGAAGACTCCCAGGAACAAGAATTCCAGGCCGAGGAAAGCCAGGAGGCAAGCGGGGGGGAGTCTCGGCGACTTAGAAGAAAGTGGACCGATTTTATTTGATGACGACGAGGATGAATTGACTCTCACCCCTTCAGCCCCGAAAACATCTCCTCGAGGCCAGGATATACGAACTAGCAGCCAACAGAACAATGGCGACCAGACTGATGCCACGACCCTATCCGACGAGGAGTTCCCCCCGTTAGATCGTCTTCGGCCGGTTTCTCCAAAGAGGCGGCAGCAAGTGTTGAAGCGGCATCGCTCCCAGATGTTGTCCTCCGTTAAACGGAAAAAGGCCAGATTCACACCTGATTCGTCGTCTCGGGCATCGCCACCACGCCCCACGTTTATCCAGCCGCCCCCTCTAAACGTATGGGACTTATCCTCTTCACCGCCTACACCGTCTCTGCCAGAAGAACCGTTGCGGAAAGTCGGAACCACCCCGAAACCACCCGTTGAATCTCGGCCGAGCACACCGGATACACCTGCTTGGGACCCGGGGCTGAATTCTGCTGTACTCGAAGGCAGAGCCACAAACTCTCCGATCCTGATCGACGAGGATTCCCTGAGCGACCTCAGTGATGGGGATCAGGCGGATTCTACAGACAGCTCTGGTTCTGGTAGTGACTCGGAGGTGGTTCGCCAAAACAGTCGCAGGATCCGCGGAGTATTGCCAGCCTCATGGCTCCGTATAGATCAGCAAGGTAAACCCGCCGCACGGAATGCACGTAGAAGGACCCCTCAACCTTCACCGGAACGTACTGTAAGGCGCGGGGTTGCCCTGCCCAGACGGGGCTTTGAAAAACCCTCCAGCACGGCGCCATTGATGCTGTTTGATGAGTCGGGAAGACTCCGAGAACGAGTCACCTCGGCGACCAACCGCCACAAACGATCCCATTCCAACGGCACCGACGACCATCGTGATCAACGAAGACGATGGGGCTTCCGTGATTGAAGAGGATACAATTGACTGGATGCTTCCCGGGAGGAAGAGATCCGGACCACAAAAGACGTCTGGTAGGGCAAAGAAGCAGAAGCAGAGCAGAACGCAGTCTGTTTTCCAGGGCCGCTCCAATTCAACTTCCCGACAACCTAGGATAACCCAGGTTCTACAACGATCAAAACAGGGTGCCACACCAACGTCCGCGAAGAGGAACTTAACAAAGCAACAACGGCATCGAGAAAGGGGTGGCTCTCGGTTAGATCGCAAGGCTGATAGGAAGAGAGCCACCCCCCCACTTCTGAGCATTCTGGATGTTGCGGAACCTGAAGCTCCAAAGTTTGTCAAAATCGCCGCGCGTGCTGCGAAGAGGAGGTTGAATTTGGGCAAGGCTAGTCCCTCCAGGAAGCTCATTAGTCTGGCAACACGTAGCGACAACGTTGACGCCCTTTCAGTCCTACGGGATTGGAAATCAGGCAAGACGAAACCCAAGATTCCTACGCCACAACGAAGGCACCCAGAGAAGCCAAGGAGCAGGCCAGAGTTGCGTGAGATATCGACAAATACCACTCCACGACCCCGGGGTGGCCAACCCCGGAAGCTGGTTCGACAAAGCAACCTAGACTCATTCGTCGCCGCTGAAGAAAGTTCACAAGATGCTCAGGCTCCTCGACCGGCCTCGACTTCGACTATCCAACCGCGGAAACGAATACCAGACCGCCCTTCGAGCCTGCACCCAGCACAACTCGAGGAGGAGGAAACTGGGGATAAACGACGGCAACTCAATGCACGGAAGCGGACTCTAGATGCCTTCTATAGGAGGCACCAGAGGATTCTGGATGCCTCGGTAGATGATGGGCCAGATCGCGTTCTCGACGTGGACTTTACACTCAGGGAGCCCGTGGCCGAAGAACAGGGCAACGGGGCTGAAGTTGGTATGGGTACTGAGACATCTTCCGCCCCAACAAGCAGGGGCCCAAGAGTTGACAGGTCAAGGTTCCGCAAGAGGCGTCGCCCCCAATGCGTGGACTTGGAGGCTCCGCAATACGCTCGCGCAAACGATCCCTTGCCGGCGGACTTCTCGGCTATTGAAGTTCGGGAACGTCAAACACAGGACAAGGCCTTGGCCGAGGACAAGCTCAGAGGCCTTGGTCCATACGGAACGCACTACACGCACCACTTTGAAGTTTTCCCGCTCGATAGAGACGTTTACTTCCATGAAAGTACCGTCATTGGACGCGGGTTAGTGCGTGACGCGGTAGATATTTCTCTGCCTGACCGGACCCGCCATCAAAGGCCAGCCGTGTCCTTTCCCTGGGATGGGAGAGTCCTAAGGTGGAGCACTTGGGACGATACTACATCCTCAGAACTCGGTATACTCATTGACTGGGTTGCCGAGCAACTGGCCCAGGACGCGGCGGCAAGCGAGGGTTTAACCCCAAAGGCACCGGAAGCGGCCGACTTTGTGCTTGGCTACGTGCTGCATTCCCTGAGTGTTCCCAATGATTTTGCGGGGAAATCATTTGTGTCCAGGTGGCTTGAGATTCTCTCCAGCTTCACCGACCGTCTCGAATCAACTGATACGAGCTCGGTCTCGGAGGCCGCCAAGAGAGCGCAGCTTGAGGTTAATACCCGCCTTTCTCTCGCCACGCTGGCGGTACGTTCGATAAGCCAGGGACCTAGCGGCGACCCTTTTCAATCCATGAAACTTGATGATTTGCTCAAGAAAACGGCTTCGATCACCATTCGTTGCCTTTTAGCATGCGGCACCGAGGAACTGCGAACTCTTTACGGCGATTTGCAACGTTCAGGTTTCAGGGAGCGAGGTATACGTCCGGACCTATTCCTTGCGAATTGTTGGGTGGTTATGATGAGACTCTTGGAAAGCGCTGCCATTCCTAGAAGCTCTTTCTGGGATGTCACCCAGTCCGTCATGCTCGCCCGTGAGGTCGCCTTGGGCTCGGATGCACAGGTGTTTGAGCGGATTTGGCAAGACATGTTCACGTTGCTGCCGCTCTCTGAGATCGACAACTCCGGACTTCTCGTTTCGGGGGCAAGGCACGTTACACCGGTAGAAGGATGGGCTCTGCCGCAGCAGTTGCTGAAGCGAGTCTTTCAGCTGTACCAAGCAAATCCTCGTCAACCGCCCGGTTTCAACGACTACTGTCGAGCCCTTGTGGCACGCTGCCATTTTCTCCTCCAGCAGTGGGGATGGCGCAAATGCACCGGCGTCATCGGGACCATCTTTGACTTCTTTGGTTCGCAAAACCTTGCGCACCTCAGGAACGAGGAGGTGTACAAATCCCCGCAGTTTCTCGAGGAACTTGACCGCAAGCCGTCTCTTGCCATCGAGCCAGAAGACCGGTGCTTCCACATCTTCATCAAACTCTTGGCTTTGGCAATCCAGCGTCTAAAGGAACTCGGCCGCCCCAACGACATCAAGAATCTCGTCACCAGGACGCTCCCCAACCACAGCCGGCAATATCGAAAGGAGGACACAATCCGCCAGCATGACCTGGCAGCCCTAAGAAATCACCACGATCTTCTGTGCACTTTGTTCTGGGTCTCACCGCCTGAGCTGCGGCGAGAAGTCCACGACATAGAGGCGCTGGTTGTCCCTGGTACCGCTCACAAGGAAGCATGTCTGATTAACGTTAGAGCCTGGAATCAGCTTGCACGCTTTGTGATTGCCAAGGATGAAGGCGGCGGCGTCTTCAGGCCACTCGCTGTCTGGCGCAACAATGTCTTCAACCAGGTCCTGGATCAGTACCTCTCCGCCGCCTCGGACATTGAGCAGCAGTTCCGGGCTCTGTCCACTGAGATGCCCAGCATCAGCAAGGACATGCGGGACGAGATGGTAGCCAAGAACAAGGCGACGGCCTTGGATGTGCTTCACTTTTCTGTGAAGGCGTCTTTGGATGTCTTGCAGCGGGCTCCGACTCTTGAGGCGGTTTCGTATGGGCTCAGCACAGGTAAGCCGACCCTTCTCGTCGCGTGAACCGGATGGCTAACTTGGAGTAGGACAACTGCAAAAGGTGTTCACTAGTCTCGACTATCAGTCCCCAGGGTTTGACTGGGGTATCCTCCGCGTAGCGCTCGACACGCTCGAGCATCTGATGGGCCGGATAGACCAAGCGTCGGAAGAGCAGTACTCGAGCGAGTTCGACGACAATATTGATGCCCCCTTCCTAGAGGACGCCGTGCTGGTATGTCTTAGTTTTGTCATTGATTTCATGAGATGCTAATCTGATATGGGATAGCTGGTGAATGAGCACCTGACCAAAGACTTTTTCTGGATGACCCGAACTATTCTTGCCCTTCCACTGGAAAAGTCTCCACGGCGGCACACGCAACAAACCGCTTGCGCGGAGAAAGCGGTCACCTTGGCGGCAAGGATTGCGGCTAGGTTTGTCAAGAACAGAGTTACGGTTCGCAGTTCCTCGTCCTTTCCACTTGCCTTTAAGCACGTTGCTGACCTTGACAGCAATTGCTACCTTACTTTTCTCCCGGAAAAGTACAGTTTGTTTCCCGACGTACCGAAGAACTTGACGACACCGGAAAGGAGATTTCTCCCACTCTTTCTTACAGTCCTTGTCAAGAACCACGTTTTCGATTTCCGAGACATTGGAATCAACGTTTTGGGCCTGTGGATGCTCGCGGTTGTGAAGCCGCTGAGGTATCTAGGGTACGAGAACTATCTAGCAGAAGTTCTCAAGCACCACGATCTGGCGTTCTTGGAACGAGCCACAGTTACTGTGGGAATCCCTCCGGATTACAACTCAAACATCGACTTCTTCTCTTGCGCCATCCAGCATATGCGGAAGAAACTGAGAGAACACGATTCGGTACAAGCCAAGCAGCATCGTGACGAATTCAAAAAGACGCTCCAGGTGGTCATGCAGAAGATCAAGGATGACTTGGCGCTACTCCGGTCTTATCCCAGCGAACATGGCCTATACATTGACTTTGTGAGACAGGTCATCTCTCTGATCAAGTCTCACGGAGTCAACATCTGCACAGTCGACTCCTTCTTCATGCAGCCGAGCGCTGATTACTCGCCATCGATTCAAGACCCGCAGCTTCATACCGCCGGCATCGTCGCGTACGGAGTCAAGCTGAGCGAAGGGGACGCCACCGCGACCCAGCAGCTCTTCCACTATTTGCTCAACAACTTTAAAGTTTCGCTAGGCAACGACAAGCTTCAGCAAGAGTGCAAAATCTTGAGCAGGGCAATGAGAAATGCCTATGTCACATCGTTCATGCTACAGCACATGATACCGGCCATCATCCAGGCGTCTGCCCAAGTTCCGGATTGCTGGGCGTTGCTGGAGGTGTACGCGGTCGCGCTTGGGGAAATCCTCGATTCAGGCTGCGTTCCGAAGGAACTACCAAACCACGACGTGGAGCATGCGGCGGGAATCTTGACGAGCATTCTGGCTTGGGTCGACACCCTCAAGAACACCGCGGCGTTTTCGCTCCCGCAACTGCACATCATGTCGCTTCTCGCCACCATAGCCAACATCCTACAACCAAGCCTCACAGCCTACCTGTTCAACGAATCCGACTCAGACTCGTCAATACCTCATCTACAAGACACCGTGGATAAGATCGCAACGCTGTTTACGAAGTTGCGGTCTCACATCGGGGACACCCTCTCCCTCCCAGACGGAGGAGGACACCGCCCCGACCCGCCTCACTCTATCAAGCGTCTTGACCGCCCTGCCGCCAAGGCCCAATACCCGCACCCGGCAGCGGAGGCCACCCGCGCCCGCAGACGTTTGCCAACTTCATTGCAACGGACGTGCGGCAGAACTGGGTGGTGACGGCGGACCGTGTCATGGTGAGGATGGCGTCCTCGGGGCGGGGGTCGCAGGGAGGGTTTCCCATGATGATGAGTCAGGCCATGGTGGCTGGTGGCGGTGTGCCCTCGCTTCGCGGGGCGAGCTATAGTCCGTGGGAGTGGAGGGCTGTTTTGGAGAGATTGGGTGCTGCGGTGGGCAGGTGGGAGTTGGGTGGGAGAGAGGGTCGGGGGAGAGAGGAAGGGGGGAGAAAGGGAGGTCATGGGAAAGGGGGGAAGCGAGGAGGGGTGGAGGACGAGATGCTGTTTTAGGGGTTTTGGGCTATGAGAGACGGGTATATAGATCATGAGTAATGACGAGCCTTTTCTGATGTTTAGCGACAGCGGTGCTATTGTCTGGCTTACAGTGCTGTCCTGCTCTCGTCTGTTCTGGTTACGACTCGAGTTGTTCCCGTCACATATATAACCCTAACCCTATAGTTATATTGGTCAAGGCTCGGCTGTCAACGGCCAAATTCGATGGCCACTGAGCGGCGGCGGTGCACCGACATCGCGACCCTTCGTGTAGGCTTCTTGTTGCGGGCGCCGGCATTCCGGGCCCACCTTTCCAGACCGCCCGGCCCCGCCCTGCGTGGGCTTAACCCACGCAGTGGCATCACTTCCTGTTGTTAGGTTTACAGTAGTATCATCTTCCAGTCCTGTGTGCTCACACAGGTTATGAGCCCCTGACACTTCCTTTTATTACTGTTGATACTCTTCCTGTTAATTCTCTCAATTGATAGAGATTGGAATTGAGTGAAAAATCGTCGATTGTGTGGAATCTCGTTTTGAAGTCAACGAACCACACCCGACATTCCAATTTATCGACACAAGTGTGCGACATCAATTTATCGACACAAGTGTACGACATCAAAATCAGTCAAATGGCGGAACAACTGCAACAAATGCAGGCGATGATGACTCAAATGCTTGAGGCTCAAAAGAATTATTATGAGAAAAAGCTAGCTGAGAAATCGACAAAGCGACAGAAGACCACGTTTGAGAAAGTTCCAGAGCTCAAGAAAAAGGAGGACTTCTTGACATGGCGTGACAAGTTGCTCACGTCACTGAAGAGCGCAGGGCTGGAAGCCCACATCCTTACCGGCGTGCCGGAACCGGCGCGACGACGACGAGAAGCGCCAGTGGCGATACGACCGGATCGACGTTGACAACCTCATCCAGAGCACAATTGCGGATATCAACGTGTGGACCTTGTTGCGAGGACAAGGCTGGAAGGTTACCGACCAGGATCCGAAATCGACATTTGACCATCTGACACAGCACTTCGATAAGTACACCCACAAAGCGACATACGACATTGCACGAGAGTTTTTCAATATCAGGCGTGGCGACTATGACAAGTTCACCACATTTCAGATTCGGCTCAACTATCTGTATCAGCGGATAAATGAGACTGATTACAAGATGCAAGAGTCAGCGGCAACCTTGAACGCCATCCAGGCGATTTCCGACGCCTACCCGGATCTGTATACCAGGTCGATGACGAATCTTCGAAACAACAAGTTGTCGTGGGCGGATTTGATGCTGGAATTCAACGAACTGGCATCCCAGGAGGCGACCCAGCCGGCATTGAGCAACGTCAAATACGGCAAGGATAAGACGAAGAGGGCAGAAGGAGATGCCACATCGTCGTCGTCAAACACTCGGTCGACTTCGATGACCAACAAGAATAACGAGAGACAGAACTCCTGGAAGTCGAAAAACCAGAGGGTTGACTGCAAGGAATGCGACAAGGACATTTACACTGGACAGGAGCATTGCGGAGGCTGTGGCTTCCACTACCCGAAGGCATCAATCTGCTGGTGGTGCAATCCGGAACAGGCCCCGGAAAACTGGCCGAAGAGAGACAGTGCCCTCAAGGCGAAGGCAACGAAAACCTCCTCGTCGACATCGACATCATTGACTAAATCGTCGTCGGCATCTTCGTCGACAACGGGCCCTCTTCATCAACAGTCTGGTGTGGCGAACCAGTCTCGCCCGATGAATCTCCTGTTTACAAGCAACCATCCGGACATGAACATGATGAACATGGCACCGCATTTTTGGGGAGGCCCGTGGCGCAATTGAGCGCTAAAGTCCAACAGGCCCTCAAGGCATCAGGCGTGTCGACAGAGGCAATTCGGAATGTCGTGATTTACGATACCGGATGCGCGACGCCAGCGTTCAATGACAAGAAGTGGTTCAAGGAATTGGAAACACTCCCAGAGGCGTCATTGGCGATATCCTCAACGGGAGAATTGATAGAGAATTGGCTGAGCGGAACCGTTAGTCTTACGGTTCAACTCCCGACAGGCAATCATGCGACGATCGAAATTGACGAAGCAGTTTACCAACCATCAGCACCTTGCAATTTACTTGCAGGTCTGAGAATGAAGAATGACGGCGTTCGTTGGGACCAAGACAATGACACGCTGTATCACAAAGGGACAGGAAGCCTCATGATGGAGTTGTACGATTATCGAGGCGTACCAGCTGTCAGAGATGCACTGCCGACCTCAACCAACAGAGGAAACCAACCGAAACCAGAGATGGCGTCAGTCCCATACCGCAAGATGCACAGAAGGCTAATGCATGCCGGCAAATCAGTTGTTGAAGAAGCATGTCGGCGTGCAGGCATCGAATTGACCGCCAAACAAGATCACTTTTGCGAAGGCTGTACAATGGGAAAGATGACGGACGAACTGGGCAAATCAGCCCCCATCCAAGGCGATAATCCACTTGACTTCATTCGTGTCGACACGGTTACTCATGAAAAACCGGGAGCGTTGGGATATAAATACAGCGTTCACATCATTGACATCGACACGAACTTCCACTGGGTCAAATACACCAGCACAAAGGGTCAGATCTTCGACCTGTTGAAGGACTGGGTGGTCATGGTTCACACCCAGACAGGTGTCAGTTGGGTGAAGATGATCGGCATTGATGGCGGCACCGAATTCGGACAATCGCCTATTCCATTCGTTGACGATAAGTTCAAGAGGTGGGCGAGGGAGAAAGGCATTGTGGTCCTTCAGACCCCTCCACACACGCCGTGGATGAACGGCAAAGTTGAACGCGCGGCGAGGGAGGTTCTGGATAAGACGCGCGCGACGATGATTGCGTATCAGATTCCAGAACACCTCTGGACCTTCGTGATGGAATCAGTCGTTCAAGTCAAAAACGTACTGCCCTACGAATGCGAATACGGGCAACAGGTGCCCACAAGAGGCCTTTGCGAAAGGTGTCGGCATGCCAAAGTCGACATGGACGCCACACATCACCCACTTTCGAGCCTACTTTTGCGAGGCGTATTACTACGTCAAACCGAAATACCGGGTCCAATCCGACAAGTTTGCCGCGCGCGCCGAGAAAGGACGTCTGATCGGTTACGCTGACCTGCATGGCAAAATATACTGGATTTGGAATCCGAAGACCGGGAAGATCATTCGCGCCAGCGCAGTCAAGTTCAACGAACGGCCCAGACTTTGTTCCTGACGAAGATGTCGGAACGGATGTCGAATACGAAGCAGTTTTTACCGACACGACAACGCAAGAAGAAGAAGAAGCGGTCGTGGAAAAACAAGACTGGGTGACAATTACCCATCCGGATCAAACAACAACAACAACGATTAGCCTTCAGGGGGGGGATTCCACTGCGACAGAAAATGAACTGCCCGCAATCGAGAACGAACCTCAACAGAGCGACGAAACAACGGAAATGCAGAAAGAAAAACATGTCGCTCAATTACCGACTCCAGAGGCCACTCCAGAACCAACGCTTGATGCGGAGGATCGCATGGAGATTGGGAGAGATCTTCCAGTGCCAATTAACCATCTGTCGCCAGGAATTGGCAATTTGGTGACCGACGAACCCGGAACAGTGGCACCGACTACGTTGTCGACCCGCCCGCGGCGCCAAAAGGCTAAATACGGTACCGGCACAGAGGAAGGTTATTATGCTAAATTGAGCAGGGGTGAATTGCCGGGACAGTCGTTTTATGCGGCGCACCTGGATATCCCTGAACCCGACGAACCAACAATTGGCATGGCGCTTTCAAGTGTGAAGGTCGAGAACGACATTGCGCAATACCTGCAACCCCAAATACCGAAGAACCATCGACAGGCGAAACGCCTTGAGAACTACAAGGATTACTGGCTCAAGGCGATGTTGAAACAAGATGCCAGCTTGCGTCGACAAAGAAGTTCTACGAATTGATTCCGAAACGCCCAGGCATGACGATTTTGCCGAGCAAATGGGTTATTTGAGAAAAAAATGAATCCGTCAACGGGAACAACAGATCCACGCGCAAGATGGGTTGTTTGTGGCCAATTTCGACAAAGACTCTTGGAATAGTGAAGACGTTTTTGCCGCCGTCGTCAACAGCGTTTCAGTCCGTACATTTCTTGCTGTCGTCGCAGTGCGAGACTTGGAATGCCTGCAATACGACTTCATAACAGCGTTTCTTGAACACGCCGATTCCGAAGGGCATCGACTATTACGTTGAGCCCCCAGAAGGTTTGGACATTCCGCCTGACATGGTTTGCAGGTTGAGAAAGGCACTTTACGGCCTGCGGAAAAGTCCACAATACTGGTTCAACACGGTCAAACCTTTACTCGAAGAAAGAGGCTTCAAGGCACTCGAAACAGATGCCTGTTTGTTTCGACACAAACGCTACGACATTCTTCTGGTGCTTTACGTCGACGATCTTTTGATTGCGGCGCCCTCGACCGCCATGATCCACACGGTCCGCGACGAAATTATCAAGCAGTTCGAATTGAAAGAACTCGGCCCGGTGAAACGGTTCCTGGGCTTCGACATCGTCCGCGATCGCAAACAAAAGAAGATCTTCGTATCACAAGAAAGCTACACACGGGCATTACTGGCAAAGAGAGAAATGTCAGACTGCCATCCGACGCCAACACCGTGGCCCAGTAAAATGGAATTGCCGGCGACATGGGAACCAGTGATGAAACGCCAGAAGGCGTATATCAAAGATACCGGCTCCCTCAATTGGCTTGCGTGTGGTACAAGACCCGACATCGCGTATACCGTTTCGAGGCTGGCGGAGGCCAACGCTGGCCCATCACAAGCGCACCTGGACCTACTTAAGCATGTGTTTCGATATCTGAAAGGCACAACGGATCTCGGCATTGAGTTCGGCGGCGACGAAATTAGCTGCGACGACATGCGAATGATGGCGTTTGCGGATGCATCGCTAGCCGACCGACTACCATCACGACAATCGACAGGAGGCCATTCGGTCTTCCTTGCCGGGGCACCAGTACTCTGGAAGTCAAAGAAACAAACCTTCGTCGCATTGAGTACGACGGAAGCCGAATTTACCAACTTGACACCCACCGCATTGTCGACAATGTGGGTGTCGCAGATCTTGAAGGACTGTGGCATTCCACAGAAGATACCGACAGTGATTTTTACAGACAGCAACAACGCGTACAGAACGGTACTTAACCCGATGAACAGAGCGCGCACACGGACGATTGATATCAACTACAAGTGGATAATTGAGAAGGTTCAGAAAGGAGAGTTGAGTGTCAACCATTTGCCCGGGGCACAGATGCCAGCCGACGGTTTGACAAAGCCGTTATCGAAGGAGAAACACGCGGCATTTGTGGGGATGATGGGCATGAGAGCGAAGAAGATTCCGTGGGCGAAGTAAAACACCACGAAGATATACATGTACTAGATTAAGAAAGATGGCGATGGCTTCATGCCGGGGCGGATGGAGGCCGGTCTGAGGGGGGGTGTTGCGGGCGCCGGCATTCCGGGCCCACCTTTCCAGACCGCCCGGCCCCGCCCTGCGTGGGCTTAACCCACGCAGTGGCATCACTTCCTGTTGTTAGGTTTACAGTAGTATCATCTTCCAGTCCTGTGTGCTCACACACTTCTTCACGCCCAGCAGCAACTACCTCCACCGCAACAGTAGTTGCCCAGCTACGCCATTGGATACCGACGAAGCCCAAATAGGCAATTCGATTCGCATGTGCGCGATAACCCCCAAATCGCCTTGTTCTCATGCCTACGGCCGCCGGGGCTCGGGCCCTGCTGTCGGTGCAGACTCCCTCTAGAGCCAATCGATTGCCCCGCGCCCTTGTCCACGCCAGTCCGACCTCCGCTGTCGCTTCCGCTGCCATTCGTAGCGCTCTTCCACATCGACGCCGTATTCCCCGCCGTCCGAATGGCCCCGCCATAACCACCCGCAGCTTCCACAGCTCGCCGTCCCTCCTCGCCCGCCCCGATGCATCGAACGCCGAGGATCCCCCTTCCCCCCCGGCCGGCTCGAACAAGGACAATGGAGCGGCAGCAACAGAGAATGGCCGGTCGGCCGAACCCGAGTCCAACCCGGCCACTGATGCCGATGCCGATGCCAAACGGGAGAAGCTGAAGAGTGCCGGCTACGGCTCGGCCCGCGCCCGCGCCAACCGTAACAACCGCGTCGAGGAGGCGCCCCCCTTCGAGGTGCCTTCATGGTTTTCGATGCCCCAGATCTCGCTGTACGAGCAGCGGCCCATCGGTGTTCCTAGCACCCGGCTGCCCCAGCTGAGTCAGGCTGGTCGCGAGGTGCTGCTGGATGTTCAGGAGAAAACGGTTAAGAAAGCCTCGCTCCAGGAGGAGGAAGTAGACGGATTCAAAGACAGGTTGACTCGTTTTGCAAGGAGGAGAGACTGGGAGGATGGCGCCCTATTCCGATTGCTGAAGCGGGCAAAGACCCTACACCGGGCGGCTTTCTGGCAGACTTTCCTGCTTACATATAATGAAACCGAAGCCAACCCAAGTCACATCGAGAGACTGCGCCAGCACCATTTGGCGAGTATGTACGAAAGGGAGCTGTGGCACCCGGCACCGTATGCGCCCTCACAAGAGTCTCAGCGCTGGCTTGCAAATGTCCGGTCCGACACCGGGCCTGGTTCGGGATTTCACCAGAGCCCCATAGCGCAACGACCGGACCCCGAGTATGCCCCCTCCATGGAACTCCTCGCCGTCGTGAACTCCCAGATGATTGCGTTGCCCACATCTGACCGACAAGACGCGCACCGGCCCCAGATTGTTCTCTCCATACTCAATGGAGCGGGGAGGACAGTCGCCGACTCGATAATCGACGACGTAGCCACGGACCTCAAGGCCGATGTCGTGCACCTATCTGCCCACCACATCGCCCGTCTTCTGGGGCCGTACTTGGGTCAAACTCAGTATTCAGCCCGCGGTTCCCTCTCCATGCTTGGTCACGCCGCTGCCGAGATGAACGGGAGGGCTGTGCCGCGGACCATTCCCGCTCCCAACTCTGGCTCCGGCTCCGAGCCGGATCAGATCGGCGCGGTCGCCGTCGAGCTGCCCGTGCGGCTGCGGAATTTGATCACGCAGAGGGAGCTCTTTGGGGTGGGCGGTTCAGATAACCGCTGGGAAGATATGAAAATCGACTCGGCGCTGGAGACGATTGTTGCCGCCGTTGATCAGAAACGTGAACGAGAGGTGACGGTGACCAAAGCCTGCCCCTCGATCATAGCCTCCATACGCAACGAGAACGAGTTAGAGGTGAAGGCGCTACGGCGAGACCTCATCATCCATCTCCACGACTACGTGGAAGTGAACTTGCTGTACCGCCCCGTCGTCCAAAGGCTACGGGCCATTGCCGACCGGATGTGGAAGGCAGGGAGAAGGGTTGTTTTTGTCGGCAGCTCCTCTGGTGAGCTAGACAAGTTACCGGAGTACCGAGAGCAACTCGCCGAGCTGGCCCGAGACGGCGCTCACGTCATCCCGTTCCATGTCGACCCAACGAGGACGGACGTGGAAGAGAAATGGACCAATGCCGAAGAAAACCTGGCTAATATCGAGGATATGCTCCGTGCCATGGTTGGCGACCAAGTCCCCATAACCATTAGCAAGGGGCTCCTGCACTCGAAAGATACCAAAGTCTCGAAAAAGGACTTCGATACCATGTTTGACTGGCTAAATAAAAACATCCTTGACGCAGAATGGGTACAACGTCTCGTATCACTGATGGTGGGTGCCCGAATGGGCCCCCGCGAGGAGTACGGCGTTCCGGAGCTATGCTACGGCATGCAGTTCATGCTCGACCGGGATAAGCACTGGCAGAAGATCAACCCAGATATCTACCCTCCTTACTCCTCCCCGCTTGCCGCGCCGCGAAAGTCGGCATCCTCCCCCGCCAAGAACCTTTCCGGCGCGGCCGCGTCCAAACAATATAACGAAAATGAGAAGAAGCTCCTCTCGGGTCTCATCAACGCAAACGACATTCACACAACCTTCGACCACATCGTCGTCCCACAGGAAACCAAAGAGTCACTCATCGGCCTGACCACCCTCTCCCTCGTCCGCCCCGAAGCTTTCTCCTACGGCGTGCTCAAGACGGAGCACATTCCCGGCTGCCTGCTCTACGGGCCGCCGGGGACGGGCAAGACGCTGCTCGCCAAGGCAGTGGCCAAGGAGTCCGGGGCCAGCATGCTCGAGGTGTCGGCGGCGAGCATCAACGACAAGTACGTGGGCCAGAGCGAGAAGAACGTGCAGGCGCTCTTCAGCCTGGCGCGCAAGCTCGCCCCCTGCGTCATCTTCCTCGACGAGGCCGACGCGCTCCTGGCCGCCCGCCGCACCGGCTCCACCCGCGCCGCCTACCGCGAGACCATCACCCAGTTCCTGCGCGAGTGGGACGGCCTCACCGGCTCGCGCGCCTTCATCATGGTCGCCACCAACCGGCCCTATGACCTCGACGAGGCCGTCCTCCGCCGCCTGCCCCGTAAGATCCTCGTCGACCTGCCCCTGGCCCCCGAGCGCCAGTCCATCCTGCGCGTCATGCTGCAGGAGGAGGCCCTCGCCCCGGATGTCGACCTCGCCCGCCTCGCCGCCGACACCGAGCTGTACTCGGGCTCCGACCTCAAGAACCTCTGCGTCTCCGCCGCCATGGAGGCCGTCCGCGAGGAGGTGCGCGCCAAGGTCGCCTGGCAGGGCGAGGGCGAGTTCCAGTGGCCCGAGAAGCGCGTGCTAGAGCAACGCCACTTTGATAAGGGCCTGCGCGAGATCAGCGCCAGTATCAGTGGGGATATGGATGGTCTGAAGGCGATCCGTAAGTTTGATGAGCGCTATGGCGACGCCGGGCGGAAGAAGGTTGTGAAGAAGGGGATGGGCTTTGAGGTGGTGCCTGATGATGGGAAGGGGTCGAGTGGGGAGGCTAGGGTGAGGCAGGTCAATCCTGCGGCTTGAGTGTATGTGAGGGAGGGGGGGGGATAATGAGTCGTGGAGGAACTGGAAAGGCGCATGGCGTTGGAAGAATGCAAATAGTCAGTAGCTAGCTAGTTGTGTGTGCGTATATCTGGGGTTGGCCATGCGGCTACTGCCGTTCTATGTACCTGTACCATGTGTGTGGTTAACCGTCGGGAATTTTGTCCCCTGCATTAGATAAAATATAAAGAGGCTTGGGTGGGAGACCATGTATTTCAACTTTGCTTCTCCCGAGCCTAATGCCCAATGGTATCATCAACGAATACAACCTTTCCTGCGTTATACGCTATATTTATATGTTTCATCCGTCTACCTGCCCGCCCATTCATTTCCTCGACTTCGCTTCCGCCTGCGCCGAACGATACAAGTCCAACGCCGAATTAATCCCCAGCAGCGTCGCCTCAAACAGCGCCAGCACCGATTCCTGCCCACCCCTGGGCGGCTGCCAGCGCAGCTTCTTACGCGTCCGCTCGTAGTGCTCCTTGATCTCGCGCTTGCGCTTGTCCATGACCTGCTGGCGGATGCGCTCGGCCTCGGCAGCGAGCGCGTTGATGCGATCGGTCGACCGCTGCAGCGACTCGGCGTAGTAGGCGAGCTCCTGCGTGCGCGCGGCGTCGCCAGACAGAAAAGCCGCCCAGAACTGCTTGAGGAACTCGGTCGTCGTCGCGTTGGTCAGCACGCACCGCTGCGCAATCTCCGGTGGGATCCCCATGGGCGATGCATCCTCGTCGCCACCACCGCCCAGAGCGAAGGTGCCCTGCGTCTCGGCGCGCTTCTTGCGCATGCCGTCGAGGATCTGGCTTTGGGCTTGTTTGCGGGCGCTCCGCGCCCCGACGTGGCTGGATTTCTTGGTGTCGGGATCGCTGTCGCTGTCGTCGTCGACGCCGATGCCCCTGCGGATATCTATTCCGCCTGAGCCGTCGTCCTCGAGAGTCTCGATGTCGGCGGTGACTTCGAACAGAACCTCGGAGGGGATCTGGGTTTCGTAGATCTTGGCCTCTTCGGATTGGGTGTCGTGGTTGGAGAAGAACTTGTTCTGCTCCTTGACATTGAGTTTGATGCGGGATGCCTTTGCGTCGCCGCGGAGATCGCGCAGGCTGAGCTCGCTAAAGGTGCGCGTGTCGTCGTCTAGCCCGTCGCCAGCGGAAGGGTCGGCGTCTGAAGGGGCGACATTGGCCATAATCTTCTCGCTGAGGCTATTGAGCGTCTTGATGATGGGGATGTTTCCCCGCGGCCGCATTTCGACATCCTTGCGGTTACCGCTCTTGAACCCACCCTGATTCTCTTCGTTTGCTTCCAAGTCTATGATGTGTGGGACCTTTTGTGTCGACGTAATCTTGCTTGAGAAACCGAAGGAGTTGTCGGCGCTGAGATATCGATCAAAAATGGCATCGTTGATGTCATTTTCTGTTACTCGCTCACCGCGCAGTTGTTTGGATAGCTTGCTGAGGAAGAACCGAGACCAGAACTCGTTATCCTCGAGTTTAGGGACATTCTCGTTATATATGCGCCTCACAAGAGGGTGCTGCTGTAGGATCATAGAAATCTGCTCCGACGAGAGACTGAGCTTGAACAGGTTATCCTCGGTCCGCGGTTTGATGGTGGACAGCACATTGTAGGCTCCCTTCTTCTGGTTCAGCTCGATGGCATGAGCACGGAGAAGGCCAACCCTGGTGGACCAGAATCGGGCATTGAATTCAGCTTCTGGGATGGAGCTAGGTTTCAAGGCGAAGGCATCCTTGTATGTCCGGGCTAGACCCTCGTCCTTCGTCAGGAGTGATTGCTGCAGCTCGGTGTCTGCTTTGAGCACGTTGTCGTCGAACCACCTCGGCGGCGCTGCCTTGGCGTTCACTGTGTTGGCAAAAGATATGGCCGCCGAGGCCCCGGCGCCGTCCGCCCCATCTGCCACGTTCTGCGCCGCCGGTGCCGCGGGTTTTGGCACGTTCGGGTCGTTCTCGCGTGCAGCGGCTAGCAGCTGAGAGAGAAGGTCCCTGACGGCGTTGGCCTCAGATCTGGCTTCGGAGGGCGACGTAAACTGGAAGAGAAAATTTGATGGTGTCGCCCCTTCGCCCGCGCCTGGTTTGGGTTTCTCGATGACCCTCAAGATGACCTTCGCTGCTCCGTCGGGAGTTTGTTGAAGATTCATTATATTCTCCAGCGCCAGAGACACGGTAGGTGGGCCCGTTGCGGGTAATGGCATCCATATCAAGGCACTGCGGTCATCGGTCAGCGTGAGAATGCCTTCCTTCTTCTTGTACGAGGTCCTGCCACGCGGGAGGGCCATGTTGGCGGCAACGCCCGCGGAGCAGGCTTAATCGCTTAATCAACGAATCCAGTAATTCCTAATTCCTGTCGCCGTTCCTTTAGCCAACCCTGAATACGTTCTCGGTTGGTTGGATGGAGTTTGGCAGCTGGAATGTGTATTGCGGCGTTGTCAGCGGCGCGGTGCTTCAGGTTTAACTTTGATGAACTTCAATTCCTACTCTGAAGCCGTTGCTGTGAAGGTCCCAGGCAACCCTGGGCTACAAAGGTTACTGTGCCAAGTCGCTAATTATAACGGTCCACCCCACAGCCTGCTCAGGACGAGCCCCACTGCATGGAACTCTTCGATCCAGATTTGCCTTCGTCTCCGTCATCTGTCAAGGCTCCAAAACATTGCGAGAAGATTAAGACGGTTCAACGACCTGTGCTTCGTATTTTGTCTCGTAGATAATTAGACGAAAAGAGTGAAAAGAATAAAAAGAAAGGAAAATAATAAGATTGCTGCTGCTTTGGACCGGTCTCGTCCGCGCGCTACCCCCCGCTTGGTCTGGGAACCCCAGGCCGGGCCCGGTTCTGGGAACCGAAACCCAATGGCAGGGTCGAGGGTGAGGTCACGCGCTGTGCACCGATGGATTGACTTAAATCAGTATTGCTGAAACAAAATAACTTGGAACCCTCTAAGCCCCTCCTCATATGATCCAAAGCAGGGAACTAACTGGAATACCGCACGGTTTGTTTGCGGGACTTGAACAACAGAACGTTAGATTCAGGGACGAACCTGAGTACAAATTGACCCAAACTGAAAAACCACGCTCTCGGCTTGGCCCGGATATCGATGGATTTGCGACCGAAGAACGAGACAAGGAAGTGGGTGGCGGGTTCGCGGTTGTCCCAAAAGGCGACACAGAGGCCTCGGGCTCACACGCTGCTTCCGTCTAGCCGTGGCTTGGCCACACCAAGTGAGCATCCAAGTGCCGCAGGGCGACCGCTGGTTGGTTGCATCGGGTATCGGACAGGGGTTCTCTTGCAGGTCCCCAAGTCACCCGCCAGCGAAAATTGCCGTCATCGTCTCCGGCCCAGCGCCCTTTTTCAGCAGCCCAGTCCAGGGCATGGAAGCGGGCAAAGACTTGGTCATTTTGCAAACCCAAACCAAACCACAAAAAAAACAGCTCACCAAAGATTGGGACGGACACGCCCACCTGGAATGTCCCAAAATCAGACATCTCGTCCTTTGACGATATAGTTTCCGCTTTTTGTACCACCTTATACGCGACTTACTCCGCCGCTCTTTTAGTTTCTGCTGCCGTTGGCTGTCTTCTTATACACACACAGTACGGTAGTTACGATACCCGGCGGGTTTCGATTTCCACCTATTCCTAACGACCCGTTGGTTTTTTCTCGCAGTTTGTTTTTGAGGTCACCACCTACCCCATAAACCCTCACAACACCAACAACTAAAACCCCGTAACACCTGGCCGAGATGCTGCGCACCTCCATCCGGGCGCTACAGAGCGCCGCGGCTTCATCGTCGCGATGCTTCTCGACAGCCACCGTCTCGGCGCGCGCCAACCTGAGGCCCGCCGCTGCCCGCCGCCCGCTCGCCATCGCCGCCCAAAAACGCTTCGAGAGCGCCCTGCATAACCCGCCCAACTCGAACGACAACTTCCTCTCGGGGAACACGGCGAATTACATCGATGAGATGTACCTGCAGTGGAAGCAGGACCCCGAGAGCGTCCATGTTTCGTGGCAGGTCTACTTCAAGAACATGGAGAGCGGCGATATGCCCATCTCCCAGGCCTTCACGCCCCCACCGTCTCTTGTGCCCGGCAGCGAGGCTGTCGTTGGCCTCGCCGCCGGCGCTGGTGTTGGCATTGGTGAGGGTTCCGACGTCGACAACCACTTGAAGGTCCAACTGCTCGTGCGCGCATACCAGGCCCGTGGCCACCACAAGTCCAAGATCGACCCCCTGGGCATCCGTAATGCTTCCAAGGGCTTCGGTAACATCCGCCCCAAGGAGCTCGAGCTCGACTACTACCAGTTCACCGAGAAGGACCTCGATACCGAGTACACCCTGGGTCCCGGTATCCTGCCCCGCTTCAAGCGCGAGGGCCGTGAGAAGATGACGCTCCGCGAGATCGTTGATGCATGCGAGAAGATCTACTGCGGCTCGTACGGCGTCGAGTTCATCCACATTCCTGACAGGGAAAAGTGCGATTGGTTGCGCGAGCGCGTTGAGGTACCGCAACCCTTCAAGTACTCCATCGACGAGAAGCGCCGCATCCTGGATCGTCTTATTTGGAGCTCCAGCTTCGAATCCTTCCTCTCCACCAAGTACCCCAACGATAAGCGATTCGGCCTGGAGGGTTGCGAGACTTTGGTACCCGGTATGAAGGCGCTCATTGACCGTAGCGTCGACTATGGCGTCAAGGACATCGTCATTGGCATGCCGCATCGTGGTCGCCTTAACGTGCTGAGCAACGTCGTTAGGAAACCCAACGAGTCCATCTTCAGCGAGTTTGCTGGTACTGCCGGTGCTGAAGACGAAGGTTCCGGTGACGTCAAATACCACTTGGGCATGAACTTTGAGCGGCCCACGCCCTCTGGAAAGCGCGTGCAGCTGTCTCTAGTAGCCAACCCGTCACATCTGGAAGCTGAGGACCCCGTCGTGCTCGGCAAGGTCCGTGCTATCCAGCACTACAACAACGACGAGGCTACCCACCGCAGCGCCATGGCCGTCCTCCTCCACGGCGATGCTGCCTTTGCCGCCCAGGGTGTCGTCTACGAGTGTCTCGGCTTCCATTCCCTCCCGGCCTTCTCCACCGGCGGCACGATCCATTTGGTTGTCAACAACCAGATCGGCTTCACCACGGATCCTCGTTACTCCCGCTCGACCCCCTACTGCACGGACATCGCCAAGGCGATCGACGCCCCCGTCTTCCACGTTAACGCCGACGACGTCGAGGCTGTCAACTTCGTCTGCCAGTTGGCTGCCGACTGGCGCGCCGAGTTCAAGCAGGATGTCATCATTGACATGGTCTGTTACCGGAAGCACGGCCACAACGAGACCGACCAGCCGTCTTTCACCCAGCCCCTGATGTACAAGCGCATCCAGGAGAAGAACCCGCAACTCCAGATCTATGTCGACAAGCTCCTGAAGGAGGGTACTTTCACCAAGGAGGACGTCGAGGAGCACAAGCAGTGGGTCTGGGGTATGCTGGAAGAGAGCTTCTCCAAATCCAAGGATTACCAGCCTACCTCTAAGGAGTGGACCACCAGTGCTTGGAACGGCTTCAAGTCCCCCAAGGAGCTAGCCTCCGAGGTGTTGCCACACAAGCCGACCGGTGTCGACCAGAAGACTCTGGAGCACATCGCCGAGGTCATCGGCTCCACGCCCGAGGGCTTCAACGCCCACCGCAACCTGAAGCGCATTCTCACCAACCGGACCAAGTCCGTGCTTGAAGGCAAAAACATCGACTGGTCGACCGCTGAGGCGTTGGCGTTTGGCACCCTCGTCACCGAGGGCCGCCACGTCCGCATCTCGGGACAGGACGTTGAGCGTGGCACTTTCTCGCAGCGCCATGCCGTCTTCCACGACCAGGAGACCGAGGACACCTACACGCCGCTCCAGCACCTGAGCAAGGACCAGGGCAAGTTTGTCATTTCTAACTCGTCCCTTAGCGAGTTCGGCGCTCTCGGCTTCGAGTACGGCTACTCCCTGACCGACCCTAACGGTTTTGTCATGTGGGAAGCTCAGTTTGGTGACTTCGCCAACAATGCTCAATGTATCATCGATCAGTTCATCGCCTCCGGTGAGCAGAAATGGATGCAGCGTACCGGCCTCGTCATGTCCCTCCCCCACGGTTACGACGGCCAGGGTCCCGAACACTCCTCCGGCCGCCTGGAGCGCTTCCTCCAGCTCTGCAACGAGGATCCCCGTGTTTTCCCCTCGGACGACAAGTTGCAGCGCCAGCACCAAGACTCCAACGTCCAGATTGCCTACATGACCACTCCCGCCAATCTGTTCCACATTCTCCGCCGCCAGATGAACCGGCAATTCCGGAAGCGTAAGTTGCCGGGTATTCGGCGTCTTCTGATCTGATGTATGCTAATTTGCCGTCTAGCCCTCATCCTCTTCTTCTCCAAGTCGCTGCTGCGCCACCCTCTCGCTCGCTCCGATATTGAGGAGTTCACGGGCGACTCTCAGTTCCAGTGGATCATCGCTGACCCGGCGCACGAGGCTGGCGCCATCAAGTCGCACGACGAGATCGACCGTGTCATCCTCTGCTCGGGCCAGGTGTATGGTGCCCTTCACAAGTACCGCGGCGACAACAAGGTCGACAACGTCGCCATTACCCGCATCGAGCAGCTCCACCCCTTCCCGTGGGAGCAGCTGCGCGAGAACCTTGACATGTACCCCAATGCCAAGACCATCGTCTGGGCCCAGGAGGAGCCCCTGAACGCCGGCGCTTGGAGCTACACGCAGCCGCGTATCGAGACGCTGCTCAACCAGACGCAGCACCACCACCGTAAGCACGTCATGTACGCCGGTCGTAACCCTAGCGCGTCGGTGGCTACGGGTCTGAAGGCGTCGCATACCAAGGAGGAGCAGGATCTCTTGGAGATGGCCTTCTCCGTCAAGCAGGACAAGCTCAAGGGCGAGTAAGCCCGCGGCCGTGGCTGAGGCGTAACCTGTAGACAGTTCTCATAAGGTCTGTCTTTTGTATCATCATCGATCATCTTATGCTCGAGTAATAGATCATTGGGTAGGGGGGATCATTAAACCTTTCCTTTGTTGCTCGCATGGTATCTGTTGGGTAATGGGGAGGCACTCTCCCTTGGAGGTGATTCCACCTAGCCAGGAGACACTACATGTACAAAAGCGAGCAGTTCTTGAATGATGAGAAATGACCATTACCGATTTAACTTACCCATTTGCCGAACATGTAGAGTGATCCTTGATTGCTCAAAAATAGTACCCGGGACTACTTGTATCCATCATATTTACCCTCTGTAAACGACGCCGAAAGCATATACTACTCCGGAAAAGGGAGATTTCAGAAGGAGGTTACGCCAGACGAAAAAGAAACTCGATGATTGTTGAGGGAAAAGACTTGCTTTCTATTTATTCTATGTCACCGCGGTAGTTTAGCCAGTCATGATATCCTGACCTGCCACGGCCGAACGACCCCATCATCACCTGTCGTGACCAGCATCTCCTCCTTGCCCTTGTGTTCTGCCCCAGGGTCAAACCTCTTGCACCATGTGATGTGGTTGACCTCGTACGGGCCGTGGGCGCGGGTGATGGTGCCCAATACTTTCCAGTTACTTTTCGGCCCGGATGTGCCATTTTCTGCTCCCCCTTCCACACCCGACTTGGCGACGTCCTCGGGCGCGCTCTCCTCGGCGTATACCGCAATGATGCCATCACTGCCCGTGCTAGCCACTAGCCCGGTGTCGGCACTCCACGACACCGAGTACACATCCCGCGTGTGCACTTTGGGCAGCACGGCCGTGCAGTCCCACTCCTCCCTGAGCGACCTCCGCATCGTGCTCGGCACCCCGCCGAACCCGGACCTAAATGGGATTCCCCTTTTGCTGGGCCCTCCTCCTCCTCCTCCTTCTTCCGTCCACTCTTAGCGTCCACACCCTGGATCGGACCCGTCCGGCCGAGAAGGTCATCAACCTTGGGAACCGCCCATCCTGCCTTTCCTTCCCCTCCCACTGTAGCCCCCACACTGTCCCGCCATGCCCCTCTAACACTGCCACACACACCCACTCCCCATCGGCATCCTCCCGCCACACCCTAACGGTATCATCATAACTCGCGCTGGCGAGCACCTCGGAGCTGTTGTGCTGCCGCCCGACACCGGCCCTCGCATTCGGCAGGTTCGACGGGCACCACGCGACAGCCTTGACATCGCCGTCATGCTCGCTCAGCACCGCGACCGTCTCCCACTCATCCTCATCATCCCCGCCCTGCCCGGACGACACATCCTCCCAGATCCACACCGACTTATCGCGGCTCGACGTCGCCAGATACTGCCCGCCCGGCGAAAACGCCAGCGACTTGACCTCGTTCTCATGCCCCTCCAACACCAAATTAAACTCCCACTCCCTCACCTCCTCCTCCTCTTCACTCTCACCACCACCACCACCACCACCACCCATCCTCACCTCCCTCTCCAACCCCCCACCACCACCCCCCGCAGCAGCATCCGCATCCCCCTCAAAACTCCACAACCCCGCCGTCGCATCAAAACTCCCCGTCACCAACCCCAACCTCTTCCCACCACTCCCTCCCCCGGTACCACCACCCCTCGCAGGCTGCCACGCGACGGTGCGCACGGAGCGCGCGTGGCCGCCCGTCAGGGCGCTGTGCTTGGAGAGGGTGGCGAGCGAGAAGACGGTGACGGATTTGGCGTGGCCGGTGGCGAGGAGGGGGAGGGTGGGGTGCGGGATGGAGGACCAGGCGCGTTGGTAGAGGTCGGGTTGGAAGGGCGGGAGGGGGGTGAGGGTGGCTTTTTGGGGGATTGAAGGGTTTGGTGTTGGGGTTGTTGGGGGTGGCATTTTGGGTTGTTGCGGTTTGGTTTTGGTTTTGGTTTGGCTTGGTTTGTTGGTGGAGGGGTCGTGGTGTGAGGCCGGGGTGCGATCGATGTCTGCTTCTTGGGGACGGAGGGGTTCGTTCAGGTGTGGAGGTGGGGTTGTTGCATTGGTTTGTGAGGGTCGGGAAATGGGTTCGTGGGTTCGTTTTTGGATGTTGAGGTCGGCGGGCTGAAGCGGGTTACGAGATATGGGAGATACCGCAACAAGCAGGGCTGTGAGAATGCGTGGTGCAGCTCGTTAACTAGAGAGAGGCTCTCGAACGCGGGATGGTGGGATGTTGTAGCACTGAGCATCGCCCCTCAATTTTTCCCTCCAGGGGTGCAAGCTCCGATCCCGCTGCCCCACCAAGCTAGGTATCTACCTATGATGCAATCAGCAACAACCAGGCCATCTCAACGACTATAGATGAACACACAAACATCGGAGGAAATGGTGAATGTTAAGAGTCGAACGCTATGGCATACGCCCGATAATGCATTCCAAGGCGCTATATACGACCGAAGACCATACTGCCGCTTGCTGAACTGAAATACACCATCCCAAAGCCCAGTCTGAAGACAGCTCAGGGGCGACCGAATCAATGCGCCAAACCCATCCCAACGCTTCAAAACACACAAGTCCCAAACTTCAAGCTGAAAGCGCTGCCCAAGTGCCCAAACGCCGTGCCATCATGAATTCAACCCATATAAAAACCATACCCCATCCCCATCCCCATCACGCACTGCTCCACCCCGCCTCACGGAACCGCTCAAACGCCGGCTCATGCCCCCCACCCGTCGTCGTCGTCGTCGTCGTCTCCCGCTCATCCTCCTCACGCATCCGCCTCTCCATCTCCATGCGGCCATCCTTGCCCCAGTATCCCGCCTTCTCAGTCCCCTGGACACAGCCCTCGGTGATCAGCACGTAAGGGGTGGGGGCGTCGTACATGGGGTCGGCCAGCACGCGCTCCATCTCCATCTTGAGCCCGCGCGCGCCCGTCTCGTTCTTGGCCGCCCGCTCCGCGATGGCGGTGAGCGCCTTGCGCGTGAAGTTGAGCTTGCTTGGGTACGTCTCGAACAGCGCCGTGTACTGGGCCACCAGGCTGTTGCGCGGTTCGGTCAGGATGCGGTACAGCTCGTCCAGCGAGAGCGGCGTGAGCGCGCAGATGTTGTGCAGCCGGCCGATCAGCTCCGGAATGAAGCCGTAGGCTTGCAGGTCGGCGGGCGTGGTGAGGTCGAGCGGGGTGAACCCGGTGCCCGACGATCCGCCGGCAAACGCCGGTTGATGGGGTAGGTGGCTGTACATTTCTGGGGGGAGGATGTCTTTGCTACCGGACATGGAGGCGCTGCGCCCGCGGACCTCGGAGCCAAAGCCGATGGAGGGCTTGGCGACTCTCCGGAGGACCGTCTTGTCCAAGCCGACAAAGGCACCGCAGAAGACGAAAAGAATGTTTGTTGTGTCGATGGTATACTGGTCAACCTTGCCAGCGGGAGGGGTTGATTGCGGGTTCGACGGCCCATAGCCGCTAGGTGGGTTGTTCGTCGTGCGGGACTGTCGTTGATCCTTAATGTTTATCGTGACCTTGGTTCCTTCGACAAGCTTCAATAGAGCTTGCTGCACGCCTTCGCCGCCTACATCCCTGCCATTGACCGTCTCACGTTTCGCAATCTTGTCAAACTCATCTAGCACGATGATCCCATGTTCCGCGGCTTTGATGTCGTAGTTGGCCTCGATGAGTAGTCGTTCGATACATGATTCGACGTCCTGTCCGATATATCCGGCTTGCGTAAACGAGTTGCAGTCGCTAATGGTGAATGGCACGTTAAGCTTCTTGCTCAGAGTTCTACATTGGGGTCAGCACAGGTTGGGAGCAATGGATCTGGCCGACCCACTCGAGTATGTACGTCTTCCCCACGCCAGTAGGTCCGATCAAAAGTAAGTTGCTCTTGTCGATCTTGACATGCTCTGGCGCGGCGAAGTTTTCCGGGATGTAGAAGTCGTCGGTAAGGGGCTCGTATAGATTGTCGGGGATCTTGTATGTTCCCCCCGCTGCTTCGTGGTACTTCTGATATTCATCTTCAACAGCAAAGTTATTATCAGCCTGTCGCCGAGATCCCAAAGGAAACGTAGAACGACGCGAGGGCCACCGCCCACCTTCGACTGGATGCGTGCGGGTGCTGTTGTAACCCGCATTCTCAAAAGCCTCCTGGTCCTGGGCATATTTCTGCCTCTGGAGCTTTTCCCGCAGACGCTGATCTTGGATCTCGTGGTTCTGACGCCGCCGTAGACCCTGGTAGTGATTGAAAATGACAGAGCATATTGTCTTCTTCGCCCGATCCTGGCCTACGACGTAGTCATCCACCCTCCTCTTCAGGTCTCGCGGGTAGAACTGCGGGACGCCAAAGGTGTGCTTGTTGAATATGGGGCCGCGCCCTGTTTCCTGGTTGGGATCATAGCTACTGCTGTACCCGGAATTGAAGTAATTCGACCGGCGGGGGGCCGAGAGGAGGATACTCGATGTCGAGTAAGCGGGGTGCCGGAGCCGGGCGGTTCGGAGGAGATCTGGGCGCATCGGCGCTCGGGCCCGTACAAAGACCGACATCGTCGCTATCGGTCGGTGATCATGCTCAAAGGATGAGAGCGGTCGGATACCTCTCAGCGGCCCTGTTCGAAGTAAGATCAAGAGGCGGAGTTCCCTGGGATTGTTTCGGAATCCTGGGGAAACCGAGCGGCGGAAGATGGTTGCGCCACATGCTGGAGCTCGGTGTTAGACGATTGACACCGATAACTAGGCAGCCGATGGCAGGCGGCGCTGAGGTGCGGGGGGCCAGATCTGCTTGGAGCTTGCGCCACCCGACCAGCCAGTCCCTGTATTGGGGCCCACCTAAGCTTTGAGCCAATCTAGACCCGTTCGTTGTCCAACGGACGGGACTCGAGAGGAAAGAATGTCAATGTGCAGTTGGTGTGTTTTTTCAGTTCATTTCTTCTAGTCTTAATAATTATTGTTAAATTAGGTCTTTCCACAGTAAAGCTTCAAACGCGGAATCTGGTAAAGTCAGCTCTCTCCCCTTTCGCCAAAGATTGCAAGGGAGGGCCGTCCCGAACCGCCTAGTGATCACATCGTCTTATCCTCCTTCGTCACATCTGCGATAAGGTGGTTCAGCTGCTGAGCACCCCTGGAACCGAAGTTGGCAGACCAACTTGCGGACGGCGCAGGGGGCAAAGCGGTAGGTAGCCGCTAACGGCTTTTTATTTTGGGCACGAAGTTGCCCCTCGGGGCTCTTGTCGGGGAAGATTTGATTCGGTTGGGATTGCAGAGGACCCATGATGTAATCTAGCATTTACATGTGCATGCAGGCCATCTTCGAAGCTCATCAAGCTCGCACCTAGCCGAAGGACAGCTCCCGGGTGCTCATCAGTGTGACCGTCATTTTCGTATTTTCATCGCCCCGCTTCCAGAGTCATCACATTCCTTCCCTCAAAGTAAACATCGATTCTTGTCTTTCTCCATTGAGCTCAACATCTTCTAGACCTAGCAGAATCTGCGGGAATTGCCCCTGTCAACAGCAATCAACAGCAATACAGGGCATCTATCTACTCGAGCACCTCTATCCCCTCTCAGCTCTTCCCAGACACCAAGAACCAGACGTCAAGGATATAAAAACCGACGCTGCTTACCCAAAGCAAACGAATTCTACTGGAATGGATCCCATCGCTGAGAATTCCTCCAACACCTTGGTGGGCGGCGCCAAGGTGGCCGAAGATGATATTCCTCGGGATGGCACCGGTCTGATGCCCCGCAGCCCCCAGTGCTTGGTATCATGACCTGAGACTGACTCCAGAACAGGCGTTTTAAAGCTGGACCCTTGGCTGGAGCCTTTCAAGGACTCACTGAAGCGACGCTTCAGCAAGGCCCAAGAGTGGATCAAGAGAATCGATGAGACGGAGGGCGGTTTGGACAAGTTCAGCAAGGTACAGACGGCCCGCCTCAGCCTCGGTCTTCCCATCTGCTAACCTGCGCCAGGGGACTGAACTCTTTGGACTGCGGGTGAAGGAGGACGGTAGCATTGTCTACAGGGAGTGGGCTCCCAACGCCGTTCAAGCTTCTCTTATCGGCGACTTCAGTAAGTTGTACCCCCAAGTGATGTGAAAACCGCATTCTCACATTTTTAGACAAATGGGACAAGAGCACCCATCCTATGAAGAAGAATGAGTACGGCGTTTTTGAGATTACCGTTCCCCCAACAGCCGACGGCAAGCCGGCCATTCCTCACAACTCCAAAATCAAGGCAAGCACCCCCCCTTCTCCCCAATCATTATGAGACGCGACCTAACGTTCCTAGATTACCCTCGAGCTGCCCACGGCAGAATGGGTTGATAGACTGCCCGCCTGGATTAACTACGTCACGCAGGACCTGTCCGTCTCCCCCGCGTACGATGCCCGCTTCTGGAACCCGCCGGCCGCGGACCAGTACTCTTTCAAGCACTCGAGACCGCAGAAGCCGGCCAGTCTGCGTATCTACGAGGCCCACGTCGGCATCTCGTCCCCCGAGCTGCGCGTCACCACCTACAAGGAGTTCACCAAGAACATGCTCCCGCGCATCAAGGGCCTGGGATACAACGCCATCCAGCTCATGGCCATCATGGAGCACGCGTACTATGCCAGCTTTGGCTACCAGGTGAACAACTTCTTCGCCGCCAGCAGTCGCTACGGCGAGCCCGAGGACCTGAAGGAGCTGGTGGATGTGGCCCACAGTTTGGGTTTGGTCGTCTTGCTTGACGTGGTGCACAGCCATGCGTCCAAGAACGTGCTGGACGGGCTGAACGAGTTCGACGGGACGGACCACCATTATTTCCACGAGGGCGCTAAGGGCAGGCACGAGCTCTGGGATAGCCGGCTGTTCAACTATGGCCACCATGAGGTTATGCGTTTCTTGCTGAGCAACCTGCGGTTCTGGATGGACGAGTACCAATTCGACGGCTTCCGGTTTGACGGCGTCACCAGCATGCTTTACACGCATCACGGCATCGGAACGTGAGTCCATCCTTTTTCATCCATCCGCGAGTAATGCGTACCGGGCTAACATCTACAGTGGCTTTTCTGGCGGCTACCACGAGTACTTTGGTGCCGCCGTTGACGAGGAGGCGGTGGTTTACCTCATGATTGCCAACGAGATGCTCCACGAACTGTACCCAAATGCCATCACCGTGGCCGAGGATGTCTCAGGGATGCCGGCATTGTGCCTGCCGCTGTCTCTGGGCGGTGTTGGGTTCGATTACCGGCTGGCTATGGCTATTCCCGACATGTGGATCAAGATCCTGAAGGAGAAGAAGGACGAGGACTGGGATATCGGCAATATTTGCTTTACGCTGACCAACCGTCGCCACGGAGAGAAGACCATCGCTTACGCCGAGAGCCACGATCAAGCGTGAGTTTACCAGCACTGTTTGTTGTGTGTGTGTTTCACTAACCTTGTGTAGTCTGGTCGGCGACAAGTCCCTCATGATGCACCTCTGCGACGCCGAGCTCTACACCAACATGTCGACCCTCGCGCCCCTGACCCCCGTCATCGACCGCGGCATGGCGCTGCACAAGATGATCCGTCTCCTGACGCACGGCCTAGGCGGCGAGGGCTGGCTCAACTTCGAAGGTAACGAGTTTGGCCACCCCGAGTGGCTCGACTTCCCGCGCGAGGGCAACCAAAACTCGTTCTGGTACGCCCGGCGGCAGCTGAATTTGACCGAAGACCACCTGCTGCGTTACCAGTTCCTCAACAACTTCGACCGCTCCATGAACGTCTGCGAGGGCAAGTACGGCTGGCTGCACGCCCCACAGGCCTACATCTCGCTCAAGCACGAGGGCGACAAGGTGATTGTTTTTGAGCGGGCCGGGCTGGTGTTCGTCTTCAACTTCCACCCGACCCAGAGCTTCACCGATTACCGCATCGGCATCGAGGATGCTGGCACTTACCGCATCGTGCTGGATTCGGACACCAAGGACAACGGCGGGTTCTGTCGCCTGGACGAAGGCACCCGCTTCTTCACTCAGCCCCTCGAGTGGAACGGCAGGAAGAACTGCATGCATGTGTACATCCCGTGCCGAACTGCTTTTGTAAGTCGAGTCTCGATCCCCTCGTTTTTGCGGTATGCTAATATGGCCTTAAGATTCTGGCACCGGAATCAAGGGTGCTACAGCAGTAAACTGTAGACTCAAAACTGGGGACAGCGTGGGCATCGAGAAATACTGTTGTATCCATCTTATTCTTAGCGTGTGTTTGTGTGCTCAAAAAGGAAGACAGAGCGGGGTAATTGTAGGAAGGGAAAGGGATGTGTTCAGATGGTTTGAACGTCGCCTTTCCGATGCAATTACAGGATTTGGGAATTGCCAGCAAAATGCCACTTGTTCCCGTCCAATAAGCAGCTAGGCCGTGAAGATGGCGCCCTCGAAGTCAAGGCCCGACCCGGGACCTCCCGGTGGGCCGTTTCAACAGCAACGAAAATGGTTGCAGGGTGCATGCAGTTAGTCGGAGAGAGAAATCCTCTATATCGGGGCAATGTGGCTATAACAAGTAAGTAAAATTAAGTCTTGTAGAGGAAGTTGGCACGTTAAACGCCGTAAACCTAAGCCTCGAGCAGGCAGAGCGAGCAGAGAATCTGTCGGCAAATCTCTCCCTGCTGCGGCCTGAAAATTCAAGAAAACAGCGACTGAAGTTGCGAGTTGGACGGGAGGGCTGGGGTCCGAGGCCCACCTATTTTCCCAAAAACAACAAGTCACGTGTAAAGTTGGAGCTCCGCAGCTCCTAGCCGAAAGCTCGTCGAGAGATTTTCGAACCCGTTTTCTTCCACCTCCCCCGAGCCCATCTTTCCTTACTGCACATCCACCGTCTCAAAGTCCGCCCTTCATCATCGGCACGATGTTCAAGAGGTGAGTTGTCGCCGGAATACCGAGCTCCCCCGCGTGGGGGGCGCCAATTGAGTCCAATTGATACTGATGCAAAGACTTTTCCCCTCGCGCAGCGGCATTTCCGCCTTTGCCCGGACAGCCCGTCCGTCGTTCGCCGCGACGACTCGTCGCGCCGTTCGCCCGGCCAGCCTCAACTTCCGGGCCCCCGCCCTCAGCAGGTTCGCCAGCACAGCCGGTGTTGGTGACGGCAAGATCTACCAGGTCATCGGTAAGCTTTCTCGATTGGACGCCCCGTCGTGTGCCCGGGGTGGTCCGGGAAAATTGTTTCACTGGGCTTGGCTAACCGCGCAAACCCAACAGGTGCCGTCGTCGATGGTTAGTAGCTCTGTGGCCCAACGTGCCCCGGTGGGCAGCTCCCGGTCGCATACAACTGACGCCGTCGACAGTCAAGTTCGATACCGACAAGCTCCCCCCCATTCTCAACGCCCTCGAGACCAACAACAATGGCCAGAAGCTCGTCCTCGAGGTCTCGGTATGCCAAGATCCCCCCCCGCCAACTGTCCCAATCCAGTGTGCTAACTGCCCGACGTAGCAACATCTCGGCGAGAACGTCGTGAGGTGCATTGCCATGGACGGTTGGTTCCCCTTGCCGTGCGCCATATCGAGGAAGGTCTTCTAAACGGGGAATATCTAGGTACTGAGGGTCTCGTCCGTGGTGCCAAGGCTGCTGACACTGGTGCTCCCATCACCATCCCGTGAGTTGAATCACCCAAGAGGGACAAAATGCCGAAAGGCTTGGGCGTTGGCTGACATGGATGGCGTATAGTGTCGGCCCTGCCACTCTCGGCCGTATCATGAACGTCACTGGTGACCCGATCGACGAGCGTGGGCCCATCAAGACGGACAAGTTCCTGCCCATTCATGCCGAGGCTCCCGAGTTCGTTGACCAGTCGACCACCGCTGAGATTCTGGTGACGGGTATCAAGGTCGTGGATCTGCTTGCTCCCTACGCTCGTGGTGGAAAGATTGGTCTCTTCGGTGGTGCCGGTGTCGGCAAGACCGTCTTCATTCAGGAGCTCATCAACAACATCGCCAAGGCCCACGGTGGTTACTCCGTCTTCACCGGTGTCGGCGAGCGTACCCGTGAGGGTAACGATCTGTACCACGAAATGCAGGAGACCTCCGTCATTCAGCTCGACGGCGAGTCCAAGGTCGCCCTTGTCTTCGGTCAGATGAACGAGCCCCCCGGAGCCCGTGCCCGTGTCGCCCTTACCGGTGTAAGTTGCCCCATCTTTCTTCATTGCTTCCCCTTTTGCTTCACCGTTCTTTCCCATCGGACTCGGTTGCTCTTGCCATGAGATCTTGAGATTCAGGTGCTGCCTGGAGAGTCAGTGACTCGGCCTGGGTGTTGCCCAAGATGGAGTGCACCTCGGCCTCTCCGCTCATCTCGTCCTGTCCACGTTCTGCTCTTTCATCTGCTTGCGACAACTAGCTGGCAATCACTTCACATCTGCTTGCGACAACTAGCTAACATCTCATCGCCATACAACAGTTGACCGTCGCCGAGTACTTCCGTGACGAGGAGGGTCAGGATGGTGAGCTAATTTACCCCCGCATGGCAGATTATCAGCCAGGACGCTAACCCGGGCAGTGCTTCTCTTCATCGACAACATCTTCCGTTTCACCCAGGCCGGTTCCGAGGTGTCTGCCCTTCTGGGTCGTATCCCCTCTGCCGTCGGTTACCAACCCACCCTCGCCGTCGACATGGGTGGTATGCAAGAGCGTATTACCACCACCAAGAAGGGCTCCATTACCTCCGTCCAGGCCGTCTACGTCCCCGCTGACGATCTGACGGATCCTGCGCCCGCCACCACCTTCGCCCATTTGGACGCCACCACTGTCTTGTCCCGTGGTATCTCCGAGTTGGGTATCTACCCCGCCGTCGACCCTCTCGACTCCAAGTCCCGTATGCTCGACCCCCGTATTGTCGGCCAGGAGCACTACGACATCGCCTCGCGCGTCCAGCAGATCCTCCAGGAGTACAAGTCGCTGCAGGACATCATTGCCATTCTCGGTATGGACGAACTGTCGGAAGCTGACAAGCTTACCGTCGAGCGCGCCCGTAAGATCCAGCGTTTCCTGAGCCAGCCCTTCACTGTCGCCCAGGTCTTCACTGGTATCGAGGGCAAGCTCGTCGACCTCAAGGACACCATCAACTCGTTCAAGTCCATCCTGGCCGGTGAGGGTGACGACCTTCCCGAGGGTGCTTTCTACATGGTTGGCGACTTTGCGTCGGCGCGGGAGAAGGGTGAGAAGATTCTGGCTGAGCTCGAGCAGAGCGCTTAATCGGTTGGCCTGTAAAACCGGGAAGGATTCGGTTACCTGTGTATAGAAGCGAATGGTTTCCGGGGAGTTCCCTAGCTCAGTCAAGTTTCTTTTGTGAGCTGTGTATCAATCAATTTCTCTGTCCCTGGCCTGATTTGTGACGTCTGCTCTTGTGATTCTCTCCCCGTCCGTGGTGGCCTTATTGATAGGTACATCTATGTCTCGAAATGGGTGGTCCCGCCTCTTCTGTGAATGGTGATCGTTCTATTTTTTATTTTGTTTTTTATTTCCCTCCACCTTCTCTTACACTTATTCACGCATCGCACATCCTTGCGATGACAATGAATTGACCACTCCAGGGTCACATACTAAATCCCAAAGCCGAACTCCACTGGATACCCGCAAGTATAAAACAAATCCATCCCATCCAACCCATGCGCATCCTACGAGGCAAACTCCCTCCCCCTCCACCCCCGTCTAGTTAGGAATTACGAAGCTGCAACTGCATCTTCCTCTCCCGATACGCCTGCACCTCAGGCGCCACATCCTCCTCCATCAGCGCCCGGATCGCGAGCTCCCGCTCCCCCTCCGGCGACGCCGGCTCCACCCCCATGTCGGTCGGCTCGTCCCACTCCGGGTCGTCCAGCAGCAGCCGCGCAATCGCCCGGTTGTCGCCCCCCACCTCCAGCGCCGCCAGCGGCACCCGCAGCAGCGGGGCCCACGCGGGGCCCAGGAACCGCGCAATGTTGGGGATCTCGAACCCGGCTATCCCGTCCATCCACCAGCACGCTCGGGCTTTGAAGGTGACGAAGACCATGTAGTGCGCCAGGATGACCAGCGCGCGCGGGCGGCGTTCGCGCGCGGCCGCGAGGATGACTTTGGGGAGGTAGGTGAGGAAGGTGACGGTGCGGAGGAACAGGCGGTGGCTGAAGCCGTTGCGCAGCTCGAGGTAGAGCGAGCCGAGGAACTTGAGCGCCTTGTAGTACTTGGGCACGAGCGGGTAGTCGGCGTCGTCGGGCTTGACCGAGGTGATCATGAAGAGCAGGTAGTTGGGCAGGGCGCGCGCCGACGCGTCCATGTCGACGGCGGGGCGGAAGAGCAGCGCCGCGATGCCCGTCCGGAACATGTGCGGAAGGTTGGTCACGTCGATGATGGCCCCGATGCCCTTCCACAGCATCATCCAGTCGAGCAGGGAGAAGGGCCGCGCGTCTTCGCCCCGGAAGACATGAGTGGATAGGCCGCAGAGGAAGAGGGAGGTCGCGAGGAGGGCTGGGTAGGTGGTTGGGTCGGCAGCTTCGATGGCTTTGCGGTAGGACTCGAGGCCTTGGGTGCGGTAGTGTGCTTCGAGCGCACGGGATATCCCCATGTGGGGTATCCCCAGGTAGTTGACGTGCATCGCGGTGAGCCCTAGGAGGCAGTTCATCAGGAAGGGGTTGGCGAAGGCCTGCTGGACGACATTGACGCGGAGGATAACGTCCACGCTGCGTTCTTTGAGCTGGCCGGTCGAGAAGGAGGCGTAGGTGGCGGTGGTGTAGAACCACAGCAGCCGCATGTCGGCCTCGCTGTGGCCGCTTGGTATGAACTGGGGTTGGTGGGTGACGGCGGGGGTGTGTCTGCCCAACAGGGCGAGGTCCGGATCGGAAGCCGGGGTCTGGGTCGAAGGCGGAGTCGGGGCCGGCCTGCTGCCGGAAGAAGAAGACGCGGGCGAGGCGGTCCTGCTCCGGGATGAGCGCGCGGGTGGGGGTGCAAGCAGGTACACGCATTTTTCACCCCGGAGAGTACACGGATGGCAGACTGGGCGGCTCTCGTCGCACTTGACTTTGCGGGTCTTGCAGTTCCGGCATCCCATTCTAGATTTGCGGTGCGGGCGTTTGGCGTGGTAGGGTCTCCCAGGAGCCGCCGCCGGGGCGGGAGTATCAAGGCCTTCCGGCATGGTGTTTCGATTTCTCCGGGTCTTTAACGTGCTGTTTTGACGTGACCGAGTTTCTTGACAGGTTGTGTTAACACGAATTATTAACGTATCACCTCCACAGAGGAAGGCTTGGATATAGGTAACCTAGTATTTTCAAGAGTCACCGGTTGAAGGGCCGCGTCAGATGCCAAGGGTTTTATTTCCATTCATAAGTGACCACCCAGCCTTGCCCGAGCGAGTGGAGGGTAGGATCTAGTGTGCATGACGATTGGGGAGTACAATGTGTGTGTTGTCTGTCGATTCCCCAACAATGGCCTGATTGGAAATATCCTTTACCTAACGTTGGCCATCCTTTGGTCCCGTGCCTTGCTTGTCATGCATGCTGCTCAACACCAGAGCCAATTTTAGCGAAAAGTTCGCGGCCTTGCTCGCCGGCGTCTCACAGGTTGGGGGAATAATTGCCTGGAATTGGTGGCTGTGTGGCTCGTTCGTTCAGTGGGTGAGCCCCTGTGCTGACGCCGCTGGGTGCTGTCAAGAACAAGGGTGGAGACATAACGCCCGGGCCACACACCAATTGTGCTTGCAGTTCGACGCGTAACGCGACGTAAGCATCGGCAGGCGAGTGGCCTTCTCTTACACAATGGTGTGAGAGCCTCATGTCAATAAATTAAACTTATCGTTTTGATAGGTACATCACCCTAATAATGAGCGGGTCTCTCTTCCAGCTCCCCGATGAGCTGGTCTTGGAGGCGCTCAATCATTCATTTCCCTGTCGAGAAGCACAGATTCGATTTCTTGCAACACTTGTTTATGTAAGTTATTCTATCAACAGAGTCTCTTGAGCAAGTCTCGAAACCATCATGAGTTATTCTAACTAGCTTAGCCCGGCGCTGCAGCATGTCGAAACGTGGTCATCTACGGCACCGAAGCCACAGGGAAGAGTACCATCACGACGGCCCTACTGGCGAAACTCTCAAATCAGACCGGGGATGATGGGTTTCGTCTCAAACATGCCGTGGTCAACTCGGCAGAATTCATCACAGCCCGCCATCTTTATGAGACCGTTGTTGGCAGAGTTGCCGATGCCTTAGAATGGAATGCTGCCCCTCCGAGGTGCGAGACTGTATCGCAGTTGACAGTCGAGCTGTCCAAAATGCTCAAGTACACTCCTCGCCCCGACGGCTTCCGCTTCGTGCTCGTCTTTGACGGCATCGACCGCCAGCGAGACGCCCCTCATACTCTGCTTCCTGCTTTGGCAAGGTTGTCTGAGATCGTAAGCAAAGTCTGATAAGATCTCAACCTCCCCATGTACTAACTGGGCCCAGATCCCTTGCCTAGCGACAGTCTTCATCGTCACCTCCCCGCCACCCAACTTCCTTCTCACCTCTTCCGTCCCACACCTTCACTTCCCGACCTACACCAAAACCGACTTCATTGCCATCCTCTCTGCGACCCCTCCCGCGGCGCTCCCTAATACCACCACCCAAGAAACCGCCGACCTCTGGGCACGCTTCACTGCCGCCGTCCACGACGCGCTCGCCCGCGCCGCCTCTCGCACGCTACCCTCCTTCCGCCACGCCTGCGCCGCCCTCTGGCCCCGCTTCACGGCACCCATCCACGCGCGCACCCACTCGGCGCGTGAGTTCTCCAAGCTTCTCGTCGCGGCGCGCGTGCATTTCCAAGACGAGCGTCTTCTCGACCCGGGCGTCCTAGCCCTCCCCCCTACCAACACCACCACAACCACATCCACAACCGCCCAAAAACAACACGACGCTCCCAAACCACCCCCCACCACCAAAACCATCACCACCAACCCCAACCCCCCGACCGACGGCGCGGCACTGGACCTCACTCCTGCCCACCACCGCGCGCCTGCTCCTCCTCGCCGCCTACCTCGCCTCGAAAACGCGGACCCGGCACGATCTGACCCTTCTTCTCCACGCACCACCCACGGGCCGCAAACGACGCCGTGGGTGGGCGGGCCGGTAACGAAGCCGGGGTGGGGG